TCAAAGGGCCTGTGGCTCAGCCTCTGAAGGACCAGTGGCCAAGGGTGCTGAGCCTTAAGTCTGCCCCCGCCTCCCCACCCTGCGCTCTCTCCACCCTGTACTTCCAGGTACATGCAGTCCTTGACTTATGACCACAATAGGCAGCTTCCTAGGAAAAGAATTCTGCATATGCTCAGAGACGGGCCATTGTTAGTTCTCACTGAATGCTGCCTATCTGCAAACTTACAGCTGATCCAGTGATAATGTGGACGGGGGCGCTGGGATTGGCATAAGGGGCTGCGGTGCTCCCATTGTAAACCTGAAAGAGGGGCGAGAGGAAAAAACGGATGCTGGAGGTCAGCCTGCTCCCCTGCTCTGCCCAGAGACGCTGGGGCAGCTTCTCTGCTTTGGGCAACCTGCAGACGGAGGCCGTGTGGTCAGTCTTGCCACTTTGCAACTCTCCATCCCCGCAAAAGGGGCAGGCAGAGAGGCGGGCGCTGCGGGTTTTAATAATCAAGGGAGCCCCCTCGCCCGACCCTAGGAAGGGGGAAGGCAGCCCGTTCTGACCTCCCTCCCAGCCCCCAAAGTGGACTCACCTTGTAGTCGTAGACAGGCCACAGCCGTTCATAGGAATGCTCATGAGCCCACAGCATCAGATCTACCCCTGGAGGAAGAGGAGGTGAGGGCAGGGAGGGGGGCCCAAGTGGGCGGGGCGAGTTGCCTTGGGGTGCAGCCCCTCTTCCTGCCGGTTTCCTTTCAAGGCAGGTCCCACTGCCTGCCGAGGGGCCACTGAAGCCGTCCGTCCTCAGCGAATTGTGCACGGAAGGACGGGGCTCTCATTGTCAAGACGGCACAAAGCCTCCCCCCTTTTTTACACACGTCACCAGTAGTCCTTGACTCAGGACCACAACGGAGCCCAACAGACACAACCGTTGTAAGTCAAGGACTGCCTGCAGGTGCGTTCTCTTGGAGGCATTCCCTGGGCATTCAGCAGGAGAGTGCGGGGGCTGCCTGGGAGCCTTCTTACCGTGTTTGAAGAAAAGATCCTCCAGGCCGTAACGGTTCGGCTTCAGTCCTTTGCGCACCTGGAAAGGCCCACAAACCACCCTGAGTGCCGCCTCCTCCTCCTCTTCCTCCTGCCAATCCTGCTCAAGGCTGCCTAAATCTGCACCCCCTTCATGGCTGTGCCAGGCATGGGATTCGGACCCCTTCCAAATTTCAGGTCTCACTGAAACAAGCAGCTTCAGAATAACTGAGTTGGAAAGGACCTCAGAGGTCTTCTAGTCCAACCCCCTGCTGAAGCAGGAGACCCTAGATCAACCTTGGAACCTTAAGATTTGTGGACTTCAACTCCCAGAATTCCCAGGCCAGCTATAGAGTTGAAGTCCAGAAGCCTTAAAGTTCCCAAGTTGGACACCCAGAACCTACAACCGTCTCAGGCAAGCGGCTGTCCAAACTCTTCTGAAAAGCCCCCGCCCCCCACCCCCACCCCCCGAAGGCCAGCTGCTCCTTCTTAGCTCTAGACTGGGTCTCTCCTCAATGAGTTTCTATTCTACCTTAACGTATTATATGTATTTTTATTTTACAATTAAGCGTCACCACACTTCTACCTCATCCTGCTGGCTACAAACCTCTGCCTGAAAGGGTCAGGGTCAACGCCCAGGTGAGGGCGTTGGCCACCACAGACAGACTCGCCAAAGTTTGTAAGCTGCCGGAAGACACCCAGACGTGAGTTGGGTAGCCATACAAATAGGTTCAATAAAATAAACGTTCCGGCCACTCCCTATTTTCCCAGTGAAGCCAGGGGCCCAAACTGCCTTCTCCATGGGCTCCTTACGATGCTCTCGAACAGGGTGCAGTCATCCTTGTCGTTGTTGGAGCAATACATGGGCCGATGCCCCATGGTGATGATCCAGGGGCGCTCCCCACGCCGCGCAGGCTGGTTCGCCTCCTGCCCCCAAGAGGAAGAGAGCCAGAGGCTCATGTTTACCTGGCACGAACTGGCCCCGCCCACCCAAACCCAGACCCAGCCTACCTGGAGGTCCCTCTCCAGCCACCGGAACTGCTTGGCGACCAGCTGCTCCCCGTAGTCCAGGAAGAAATACACCTCCGTGGAGAAGGCAATGAGGTGAGCAGGGCCTACATCCCAGCTGGGAAGGAAGCAGGACAGGCAGCCACTAAGAGCAGGGGGACAAAAGGAGCCCCCTCCCCAGAAGATGGGGAGACGTCTCCAGGGAGGCCCCCCTCGGATTTGCCCCAAGAACCAGAGAGTGAATCTGGTGGAGCAGGGGAGGGGGTGGACTGAGGAAAGGGGAGCCAGAATCGCCAGCTGGAGACCCTCCCTGGGGGGCTTTGGGCCCCAGGTATTGTGTCTCAGCCTGCCTCACAAGGCAGTTGTAGGTGGGACAAGGAACAGAAAAACTTAAGGGCAGAGTTGAAAGAGGCACCAGCCTAGAATCCCTGTGGAGCCACAAGCAAACTAAGCCCAACCTCCCTTGAATTCCGTGCACCCGTATCCCACTCCAAGCAGGGGCTGACCATTAGTTGAGAAGATTCCTGTGCAAAGGCTTTTAACAATAAAGCAACCTGTCTTTTGTGCCTGAGCCATACGAGGCAGGAGCTCCTCCAGACCCCCTCCCCCCACCCACCCCCCAAAAAGCAACTGCCAAGGCTGGGAAGGGCCTTGGCTGTCTTGGCCTTGAGCCCCTTGCAGCCCCCCTGGGACGCACCTGTACCAGAGGCTCTCGGTGTCTCCGGGCATGCTGAAGCGGGACCGGTAGTTGGAGAAATTGCTGCAGGAGGAAGGGAAGGAGGAGGCTGAAGGTGGGAGGGCGCAAAGGGGGTGCCCTTTCCCTTGGTTATGCCACCCAGAAAAACCTGGATGCCAAGGCTGTATTCCCCCACCCACCCGGAGAGAGAGTGCCAGCTGGGAGTTACGGCTGGGTCACCAGAACCAGCCTGCAGACAGACTGGCAGAGCCCGGCACCTCTTAAATCTGGCTCAGCCCCACTCACTACTTCTCCTCGTGGTTTCCCGGGCAAGTCATATATGGCACAAAGGCAGCCACTGCCTCGACTTTCCGCATGAAGGCGTCTCCAACGAGGGCGTTATCCTGCAGGGGCAGAACAGGCGGAGGCTGGAATCGGGCCAACGCCCAGGAGCAAAGTTCTCCCACCCCTGCCCAGCACGGGCACGCCCACGCAGCCCTCTTGGAACAGCCTCACGGGGTCCAGCCTTAGGACTGAGTTTTCAAGCCTTGCGTCTTCCTTCGGGCTCTGGGGGGTCTTACCGAGTCCATGTCGTAGGCAAAATCTCCTGGGGGGAGAAGAGGGTCACCATCAGAGGGTGGGTCAGAGGAAGGGTGCTGGGGAAGAGCTGGAGAGCCGTTCGGCCTACCTATGTGGAGCACTGTGTCGTACCAGCCCTGCCGAGTCTCCCACTGCAACCGGGACAAGGACTGGGGGTTCTCCAGGCCCAGGTCTCCAAACAGGGCGAACCGGGGACTCCAGCTGCTGCCCTTCCGCAACGCCCGGAAGCCATAGAGTTGGCTCCAGCCCCATGCGCTCCCACAGCGATAGACTGCAAGGAGAGAGAAGCAGAGTTGCAAAAAATGATCACGCACCCCCCCCGCCCCAGATACAGCAACCGTCATAAATGTGAGTTAGTTGCCAAGCCTGAATTTTGGTCACATGACCACAGGATGCTGCAACAGTCATAAGTGTGAAAACGGTCGTAAGTCCCTTTTTTCAGTGCCCTCGTCACTTGGAAGGGTCACTAAATGAACCAGTGTAAGACCAGGGCTTCCTCTGTCCCCTGAGGTCTCTGTGGCTTCTCTTCGGGGCCGTGTGTATGTTCCAGGCAGCCATGAGGGTGCGGTTTTTGCAGTGCCCTGCGAAGAACTAGATGCCCCCAGCCCTCACCGTAACTCTGTCCCGGAAGGAGGCCGCGGAGGGTCACTCGGTGGATGAACATGGCCCGGCCCAGGCTGCCACCGTCCACGAAGCGTGTGGCATTCCCGCTGGCCTTGTGGGGAAGGGCCTTCCCCGGAGCCTCGCCAAAGACTACGAGGGATTCGGCTGGGTCAAAGGTCGTCCAGGTGACCACCATGGAGGTGGGGTCTCCTGCAGCAACAGCACCAAGAGAAAGGATCATTCATGGGGGGGGGGAATCGCCCCCTCCCTACAGAAAGTGGCAAAGGGGGAAAGGCGGGCAAATGCGGTGGAGACACAAGCAAAGCAAAGCTCTTCCTTTCCCAAACAGGAAGTGGGTCGCCGAGTGCCAAAGACCCCTCCAAACAAGTCAATGGCTGCTGGGCATCCAGGCTGGCAGCCCCTCCCCCACCTGCCCTTCGACCCCTGCAGGGGCAGAGCTGGCGAAGGGAGGCAGGGAGGCAGGGAGGGCCCTTCCCCCAAGGCTCACCTGGGTAGGACAGGTGCACCTGCTCCGGCTGGACGGCCGGGGGGGCCTGGCAGCGCAGTTGGGGCAGCCACAGGCAGAGGAAGCCCACCAGCCTCGCCGCTCGGCTCATCCTTCCGCCCGCTGCTCCTCGTCCGCCGCCCAAGCCCCGCAGCGCCAGTGGGGACGCGCAGCCCGAGTCACGCCAGGCCCGGCCGCCCTGCAAGTCACAAGGCGGGATGTTGCAATCCGGCCGCCGCCGCCGCCGACTCCAGTTTCCGGGAAGGGCCGGTTCGCAGGGCCCCCAGCGGGGCGCGGCTCTCCCTCCTCGTCCAGCGCCCAGCCCGAGATTCGGGACGCGAACGAGCCCCCGCGGCCAGTCACGCCGCCCAGCCTGGCCGGACTGGAAGCGCCCAGAAGCCGGCGGGGACGCGGAGGGGCTCAGAGCAGCCCAGCCTCGCCGGCCCTTTCCGGGAGCCGCGCCCGTCCTTTCCTGCGAAGCCCGAGTCGGCCGGGAGGCTGCAAAGCGGGCGGCCGAACAGCAGCTGCCGGGCGGGGGGCGGGGGGGGGGGGGGGAGGGGGGAAAACCGCAGGGGGGGGGGGGGGGGGGGGGGGGGGAGGCGAGTGGAAAAAGCCACTGGGGGATTCTGGGAGTTGAAGTCCAACCAGCGGGAAGTTGCCAAGTTTGAGAAACTGAGTCCAGAAGCGGGAGGCAGAAGCCGGAGCGTCTCCGGGAGAGAAGCGGGCCGTCCCGGGCTCGGTATCCTCGTCCAGCAGCCGCATCCCCGTCCGGGGAGGACCTCAGTTACCCGGGGGGCGGGGAGGGCTGGGGTCGCCCCTGCAAAATATTGCAAAAGGGAAGCGGGGCTTTCTCGCGAGTGACGTCACTAAGAGCAGCGCAGCGGTCGCAGAACGCGGACATCCCGCAGCAGCGGAATCCTGGGAGAGGCGGGCACAGGGACCCGGCGGGATCCGAAAAAAAGCCCCGCCCGTCATCAAAGGAGAGGCCGGAAAACATCAGCCGGGCCATTGGCCAGAAGCTGTCCAATCGCAAAGCCGGAGAGTCCCCCAACCAATGAAGGCGCCGCGGACGGAGCAAAGAGGAGACGCCGTTGCGATTGCGCGTCCGGCAGTGACCCGACGGGGCAGGAGGGGAAGGAGGCTCTGTAGCCGCGCTGGCGCCCCACCCGGAGCTGCACCCAGGACGGCGATGGGCGCCGCGACGGCCAAGGCCGGGCAGGCGGGCGAGGAGGCGGGCGGTGCCGATGGAGGCCTCCCCGGGGCGCCCCCGCCGGACTGGCCGCGGCTGCCCAACGAAGTGCTGGCGCTGGTGCTGAGCTGGCTGCCGCCCGAGACGCTGGCCACGCGCTGCCGGCTGGTCTGCCGCCGCTGGCGGGACCTGCTGGACGGGCCCGCCGTGTGGAAGCTGCAGTGGCGGAGGGAGCCCGGGATGCGCGCCGCTCTCGAGGCCGCCGCCCGCTGTCCCCGCCTGCGCTGGAGCCGCCTGGGCGTCCTGCGCCCGCTGGGCAGGAACCTCGTCCGGAACCCCTGCGGGAGAGGTAGGCAGCCCGGCCGCCCCCGCGCTCCGAGGGGGACCCCCGGGACGCTTCGCTTTGCTCGCCGCTTCGGGGTGGTCGGTGCCGGGCAGGGTCCCTCCCGTTGGGGTCTCCCCCGCTCGGGCAGGGCGCGTAGCCGAAAGGCCGAGGAAGCCCCGCTCCTAAGTCACTGTAGCCGGGCGGGAAGCGAGCGGCACTAAGAGCCGGGCTCTCTGCCTGCAGAGGAGTTCCGACACTGGGCTCTCCACTGCGAGGGATGGAAGGACGGGTGGAAGGTGGAAGAGAACCGGAGCCCCGTGGAAGGCGCCGAGGCCCAGACCTGCTTTGTCACCTCCTATGAGTGAGTGAGTCCCGCCTTTCTCTTTCCCTGGGCCGCCTGGGAAGAGGCCTTGGGGGGTTCCCCCCCCCCCCCCGTTGGTAGGAACATGGTCCTCTGCTACAGGGAGTCCTCGACTTACGGCCACAATTGAGCCCCAAATTTAGGTTGCTAAGACAGACAGTTGAGGGGGTTTTGCCCCATTGTATGACCTTTGCCACGGCCGTTAAATGAATTACTGGGGTAAATCTGGCCTCCCTGTTAATTTTGCTTCTCAGGTCAGAGAAGGGGATCGCGTTGACCCCAGGACAGGCAAGCCTCAGAACTAGGACTCAAGTTGCCAAGTGTCTTAATTCTGGCCATGTGACCACAGAGACGCTGCTGCAGTGGCCACCAAACGAACTGCTATAAGCCGAGGACTGCCTGTATTGCGGGGCTTTGCCTTGTGGAGTGAGCTCTGCTCCAGGTCAACATGGCCCTTTCTTCACCTCGGCCTGTTTCTTCCAAGGTGGTGTCAGAAGGAGCAGGTGATCGATTTGCTGAAGGAGGGCTTGTGGCCGGAACTGCTGGACGCTTACCAGCCTGATATCGTGGTCTCTGACTGGTGAGTGTGGCCGCCTCCCCCCTCCTGGGCTACCCAGAGGTAGAAAGCAAAGGGCTAAATTGCCTTGTCCGTTTCAGAGCAAGGAGGACCATCAGGATGTCAGAGGGAGGGACTGTCCACAGCCTGGACAAGGCAGCCACTTTTCTGGACACTGAACACCCCCAGGAGGGTTTCAGTTCTCCTTTTCAGCTTCCTCTTGTGACTTAATCTCTGCCCTTTGACCCTTGCAGGTGGGGTGGCCGTCAGGACTGTGGCTGCAGATACGAGCTCTTCGTTGCCCTCTTGGCAGCTAATAAAAAAACCAAGATTGATGTTTTTGAAGCGAAACCAGATCCCCTCCCTCAGTGGAACGATGCCTCCTACCAAAAGGTGCTGCTTGCTCCAACAGCCCCAACTTGCTCGGTTGCCGGGTTTCACTGCCCTTGGGGTGATGGCCCGCATTTTCTCTGTTCCTCTTCCCCCTTTTCTCTTTCTCTTTCTCTCCCTCCTACACACATTTCACTAAATTCTGAGAATTAAAATGCCTTAATAATAAAATAACCAGAAAAGAAGAACACAGATTTTGTATCTAGGGGTTCTGCAAATAGGGTGGTTTTTCTTTTTCAAAAAAGAAAGAACTAGCAACATTAAAACAATAAAAATGTATGTAGGCATCACACTACAGGTAGTCCTTGACATACAACCATTTGTATAATAATGGAAGTTACAGTGGCACTGAAAATGACGTATGGTCGTTTTTCACACTTACGACAGTCGCAGCATCCTCACGGTCATGTAATCCAGATTCAGGCATCTGGTAACCAGGGTGCAATTTTGACAGTTGCCCTGTTCCAGGGTTACGAGGTAACAAGCCAAGTCAGTGGGGAAACTCACATCTGCTTAATGACTGCATGACTCACTTAAGAACTGCCTCCCTTGGAAACAAAAACTTTGGGCTCAGTTGTCAGGTAGAGGACTAAACTCTACCTGAAAGCTGTGCAGAATCAGAAACTCCCTGTTTGGGGATGGGGGCCAACAGTGCTTTAAGAAGATCTGGCAACGAGGTCACAGGCAACGCCCGTTTGCAGAAAGGCAGCACCCCAAAGTGCAAGTAGTTAGGGGGGTGGTGGGGGGGGATTCTACCGGCTCGGCCTGGTTCTGTAGACCTGGTAGCTCTGAGGAGCAGCTGACTCCAAACCGGTCCGCTGCAACGATCTTCCGGTCTTCTGTGTGGCCCACCTGCCCGCCCGTGCTCTAGGCTGTCCTTCATTCCCCGATTTTTCCTCCTCGGCTGCTTTGCGCAGCACAGCTGAGTGTTGCTCGTCAGCAGGAGGAGGTGGGTGCTTGCCGGAGCTGGTGATTTGTAAATAGCGTGCACGCACACACTCACCGAACCGGCTGTTCTGCTGGGAGGATCCGACCCCCCGAAGTAGCTGGGTGAGGTCATGTTAAAGACCCTTTTCTAAACAACGGCAATAACCTTATAGCCATAGCCCTTAGAGTTATATACCGCTTCATAGCGCTTTATAGCCCTCTCTAAACGGTTTCAGCATTTTGCCCCCAACAATCTGGGTCCTCGTTTTACCAGCCTCTGAAGGATGGGAGGCTGAGTCAACCGTGCACCCTGTCAGGATCGAACCTCTGGCAGTGGGCAGTTTGCCTGCAGTACTCCATTCTGGGCACTCTGCCGATTCTAATTAAATTTTCTAAATAACAGCAATCAGTCCTAAATAAAGAAGCTTCTGTCCCCTAAAACGCTTTTCCTGGCTGAGCTTCTGTTGCTTTCTCCCTCCAGGTGACCCACACATTCAGAAGATACGGCCCCGGAGTTCGCTACGTACTTTTTAGGCAGCGAGGGAAGGACACGCAGTTCTGGGCAGGACACTACGGTGCCCGGGTGACCAACTCTTCCGTCGTAATCCAGTTTTCCTCAGAGTCTGCAGAATCCCTGGAGCCTGGGCTCTCTTCCTCCTGATATCCCAGCCCGGTTCTGCCTCACCTTTTGTGACCACCTTTTGTGACCTTCTGCCCAACAGAGTGAATAGGAAAGACAGGTTCACTGAACAGCGGTGTTACTAATTTAAAAGGGGAGTGATTCACTTCATAAACATGGCAAGAAAAGTTGTGAAATGGGGCAAAGCCCACTTAACGCATTTCTCACTTAGCAGCATAAATTTTTGGCTGAATTGTAGTCGTAAGTGGAGGACTACCTTTATACCATTCTTGGAAAGTTGTCAGTCATTCTGTCAGGAACGCAGTGGAGTTTAGGAGCTTCAAGAAGGAGGAAGGACGTAACTTGCTGCTTTGAAAGCCAGGGGTGAAGCTGACGGGCAAGGGTGGCTGCAGGATCAGAGTTCCACTTCCGGGCCCCTTATGCCCTCTGGGTAGGGGGGGTTCCCTTCTGTCTTGCACATTTTGCAACGTTGCTTGGGAGCAGCATCAGTTTACTCCAAGGAGTATGCCACCCTGGGAACTTTAAGACTTGTGGACTTCAACTCCTAGAATTGCACACAGCTGGCTGTGGAATTCTGGGAGTTGAAATCCTCAAGGCTTAAAAGTTGCCAAGGTTGGACACCCCTGTTTCTACTTCCTCTCAGTGGTGGTTGTCCATACTTATCAGAGCAAAAGATATTAATGTTTTGTTTTGTTTTTGCTTCAAGCAGGGGAAAATTGTGCCCCCTTACCCTGTCCAGGATTAAATATATTCTTGAGAAAACTTGTATTCTGAAAAATGGTACGTATATACTTGTGAATAAGTGGAGAATTTTAAGTGCCTGAATACACCTCCCAAATTGCTTTGCTTTGTCCATGCGTCTAGACGGCCGTATTTTTTAAAATACTTGTGTATCCTACATATACTTGTGGATAAGTTGACCCTTGAATTTTTAATCAAAATAGCATGAAAAATGGATAATCCCTGAATTACCTATGGATAAGCCAGTTGTGAAAATTAAATACGAATATTTTAAGGGTCAGCTTATCCGAAGGTGGTGCATTTTTTAAACCGTATTTTGATTTTGGAGGGTTCAGCTGGTGGGCTGGTCTTCACTGCAACTATGAACGGTCTATGCACTATTTAACAAATAACGTCGAGAAGAGGGCTGACCTCCTTAATAGCCTTTGAAAGCTCCGGTGGATTCCTGCAGGCACGCATAGGCGGCACCCTGAGTCAGGACTGCCCCCCCCCGCTATGCCAGCTGCGCTTCGCCAGATGCCAGTCTGCCGTAAGGAAGGGGGGAGGGGAGGCTGGGGTAAGGGGAATCGAAACTGCTCTCGGTGCCCACCTGTGGGAGCCGCTGGCCGTTCCAAGATCCTGGAAGGGGATGTGAGACCATGAAGCCCGCCACGCCCGTGTTTGGAGGTAACCGGGCAGTATAAGGTAACTGGGGCAACGGTGGGGAGAAGGGAAAAGCTAACCAGAAGCTTTGGGCGCGAAACTTCAGATCCGGCTTTCCTTCTGTGTAACCACTTGGCTTTAGTAAAGTGAACTTTTGTTAACAACAGGTCTGAGAGTCTGTCTTTTCTAACTGACCAAATCGCCCCCCTCACACAGTTGTGCAAGGAATTGCAGGAAGAATTGTAAGCTCTAGTTAGCTCTGCCCTTCATGTCCCTAGAGTGGAAGAAAAAACACTCAGCCTTGGGATGGGGGGCATCATAGGGGCTGCCCCTTCCCAGAGGACAAAGCTGAAGGCCCATCTGGGGAGTCCAGAGCCTCCGTTGGTGGAGGGAAGCGTCCAGTTTCCCGAACAGGCGTCAGAGGGAGCCTCGACCCTCCTGGGCCCCATCAGGATGCTGACCTGCTCTGGATACCAGGAGGCCAGCAGGCATTGGGCCCAGGGGTTGAGGGTGAGGTTCAGGGTGTTTTGGCCCCCATTGTGAGGTGGGGGCTGCCCTGGAGACCCCACCAGCTTTTCTGCAGGGACCTCTCAGGAGATCTTGAGGCGGCAGGAGGAGGTGGGTTGGGAGGACCCTCTGGGGCAACCCAAACCAACGGGCCCAGAGAGAGGGCAGCCTCGGTGCGCCAGCACTTGCGCCCAATGGAGCCCTCAGAAGACGACAACGGGGCCAACGATGAACAGCCAGAGGCGGCCGTGTCACTCAAAGCTTGCTTCAGCCAAGGTGGGTCTTGGGTTGCCGATCCCAGCTCGGGGGGTAGAGCAGCCGGGAGGGGGGGGGGCACCGGTTTTGTCCCGAGCTCCTCTTTCCTCCGCCATGGAAGAAGGCAGATCCTCTCGCCCCCCTCTCTTCCCCTCCCCAGGTCTGAAGCACCTGCATCACCGGCCGGAGCTCTGCGATGCCACCTTGATTGCTGGAGGGAAGAGGTTCCCTTGCAACAGGTGGGTCTTGGCACCCCGCAGCTGGGCAGGGCTTGGGGCAGGATGCCCACGGCTAACCGCACCGTCTCTGTCACCCCATGCAGGGCCCTCCTGGCCGCCATCAGCCCCTACTTCCAGGCCGTCTTCTCCAGCGGCTTCAAGGAGTCCCGGGATGGGGAGGTCCTTCTGGAGGACATGGACCCCGCGGTCCTCCAGAATCTCCTGGGCTACCTCTACTCGGGGGAGCTGGCTTTCAGTCCCGCCGGCGCTGAGGACCTCTTCATCGCGGCCAGCCGGCTCCAGCTCAGCCCAGCGCTGACGCTCATCAGCAGGTAGCCCAGACCCTCCTGGACTTCTCCCCCGGCTTCTGTTTTCAGGGAGGGGGGTTCTCCTGCCAACTTCTCCAGGGATCTTTCTCCCCCTCCGCCCCAACAGATTCCTGACGGAGAGGATTTCCCCGGATAACTGCCTTCGCCTTTACACGCTGGGCCATGATCACAACCACCCCGCCTTGCTGCAGGGGGCGCTGCGCTACCTGGGCCTCCATTTTGGCCTCCTCTTTGAACACCAGGATTTCCTGCAGCTCGACCTGAGGGCCCTGACCTGCCTCCTCTCCTCGGACCACCTGGCGGTGGCCTCAGAGATGGAGGTGTTCCAGGCTGTGCAGCGGTGGGTGAGGGCCGAGCCCAGCGGGCGCCTCCCGCTGCTGAAGATGCTGCTGGGGTGTGTCCGTTTCCCACTCCTGTCCCAGGAGGAAGTTGCCCAGGTGCAGGCGGAGACTGAGCTGCTGGGTCAGCAGCTGGAGGTCCGGTGGCAGGACCTGGATGGAGCAGGGAGGCTGCAGGCAAGCGGGGGGCTCCGCCAGGGCATGTACCAGGAGACGATTGTCTGCATCAAAGTGCCCCGTTTGAGGGACATCCTCTCGGTCAGCCAAGACATGGACTGCTACATGGAGTGCCTGAATCCGGCCACCGGATCCAGGATGAAGCTGCCAGCCTTGGAACTGGTGGCTCTCCCCGGCTGCTCCGTGCTGGAGCACAGGCTCTACATCTCCGGAGGGAAACACGCCGATGGTTCCTATTCCTGTGCGCTGCATGAGTACAACTCTCTGGCCGACCGCTGGACCCAGCTCCCCGCCATGTCAACACCCCGCTCCGTCCACATGTTCTTGACCTGCAAGCAGAAGCTTTTCGCCTTGAGCGGCTGGAACGATGCCGGCCCCCTGGCCTCGGCCGAGAGCTTTGATGTGGCCCAGCAGCTGTGGGCCTCCATCGCCAGCCTGCCCATCATCCTGCGCTTCTCCGCCTCCGTGCCGTACAAAAACAAGCTCTACTTAATAGGTGGCGACGCCGACTCCGATGAAGTGGTCTACAAGGGCCTCCTTATCTACGACACCCACCTGGATACTTGGGCGCAGGTGCCGTTCGAGTTTAGCCTCCACGGGGCGGCCGCTGTCACCATGGAGACCGGGATCTGTGTCATCGGGGGCTTCTTTTCCAGGAAGGTCACCCAACCGTACCCCAACCGGAGGTTCAGCCAGCTTCTTCCTTGCGTCTCAAAATGTTTCTTCATGCAGGAAGATGGCATCATAAGCCGAGAGGTGGCCATCCCTTCCCTGCCCGTGCCCCTGGCCTTTGCCGGGGCCACTTCCTTTCAAGGGAGGGTTTACGTCATTGGCGGCGTCTGCACATCCAGAACCCACGACGCCATTTACCACTGGCAACCCGGCGAAGCCGCCTGGACCCAGCACTCCGAGAACCTCACCAGCCAAGGAACGATTGTGCGCAGGGTGCTCAAGTGTGTGACCCTGAAGGTGCCCATAGCCCAGCTGAGGGCCCTCATGCAAGAGACCACAGCAAGCCTGGCGGCCGTGGGCATAGCAGGCCCCCAGCTTTCCTTGGAGAAGAAGGGAAAGGAGCAGCCGCCGCCGCCTCCTCCTCCTCCTCCGGACCTGGCACCACGGAGACCCTCAACCGGTGGGCAGCTATAGAAGCCGAAGACCCCCCCACCCACCCCCAGAGCTATTTTCAAGTGAACGCCTTTAGTATTGAACTATTAAAAAATCCTCGTGGCCTCCCCCCCCCCACCCCCCGCGCTCCTTTTCCTGCCCTAGAAGGGAGCCTGCACGGCTGGCCCAACTCCAGGCCTCCCAAGGGACCCACTGGGGACTTGGAGCCGCCTTCCATTCCAAGGGCAGGCAGGATCACAAAGGCAGCCACCCCAACCTGGCGGATCAAAGCACCTCCAGGCCCCTGGAGAGCCAGCCGGCAGGAGAGGCTCCGGGAACAGAGAAGCCAATCCTGGCTCAGCTGGGTCTTAAGCTGCCTGCCTTGGAGGTGGCGGGGGGGGGGGGAATCTGGGTTGCGGCAGCTGGGGGGGTGGGGGCGGGGTCCACTGAACTGCCACTGCTCAAGTGAAGAGCCCTGGCCTGGGAAGGCCATGATAGCAGCCATCCCCTGTTTCGGCGGGCAGAGAGAAAAGGAGGAAGCGGTCATGCCAACCACGCCTCACTGTTGCAAGATGACAGCGAAATAAAAATAGAAGTGCGTCCCTGGCTTGAGAAAGGGCGAAGCTGCCCGATTGATTCGCCGCCTTGCCTACAGTTCCCTGTTATGTCATTCCTGTAAATCCCCCGACGGGATTCGGCTCACCTACTTAGGAGGCTCTGCTCTGATTGTGAGGGCAGCGTTGCCCTTCCGCTTGGTCGGTTGGCGGGCGGAGGGACCGTTCTGGTTTTAGGGTTGGAGGTCCTGCATTTTGTGCAGCAGACCAATATAGCGTCCGAAGTGCATCCAGGGACCAAACCAGGAGGAGCAAACAGACACCTGCCTGGAGTAAAGCAAAACGGTTCTCAGTGGCGGACCCTCTGCCCATCGAGCAGCCCTGGGCGGGCGTCTGAATTTTGCCTCACGGGGTTTAGGCAGCAGTGCGGGGAAATCAGGCTGGGGAGCGGAGAGAGAATTGGAAGAGACTGGGAAGGAAGGAAGGAAGGAGGTTTGGGTGAGAAGGGCGGGTAGGGACGAGGAGCCTGGCCAGCAGAGGCTGGAATGAAACTTGGAGGGAAGGGGGAGGGCTTGAAGGGAGGGCGAAGGCTGCCACCCAGAGAGCCGAGCCGGAGCGTGGAAGGGCCGAAGTTGCCAGTCAGTCTCCCGCGGTCGAGGTGGGGCTTGGCGGGGCGAGCGCTCTGCAGACTTCGGCGGGGGAGGGGGGCCCTTGAGTGCAGGGGAGCGGCGAGAGGCTCGAGGGCTGAAGATGGGGAAGGGAAGCAGGAGGAGCTCCGCGGCTGGTGGGTGGGGCTCGGAAGGAGCCGAAGGTAGGGCCGCCCTGTGCCTGCGGGCCGGCGGGTGGGCGCTCGGCTGGTTGGACGGGGACGCGCCAGGAGGGGAGCCCAGCCGGGTGGGGGTCTTGGCCAGCGCTCCGGCATCCCCGGCCAGCAGGATGCAGGAGAGAGGTGGGTTGCCATAGCAACGGCGGGCGGGCGGGCGGGCAGGGGACCGCGGAGGACGGACGGGCGCCGGGAGAGCAGCCCGGGGTGGACGGGGCGCGGGCCGGCATGGCCGAGGGGATCCCCGCCTGCGGGCTCCTCTACGACACCTCCTCGCTGCTGCAGTTCTGCGACGGTGAGTGGAAGCGCCTCCGCCGCCCGCGGCTTCTGCCGCTGCAGCCCCCGGTTCCGCAGTCAGCCGCCCGACCGCCCCAGCCCGGGTTCCCTGGGGAGGGGCCCCCATCACGGGCCGCGCGCATCGGGCGGCCGGGGGTCTCCGCAGCCTGGCCGAGGAGGGCAAAGCGCGGGGAGGTGGACTGGGTGGAGCCGGGGTGGGGGGGGAGATCAGGGGCAAAGGCTGCCCGGGGGCCGGATAGGCGCGATCGCCCGTCTCGCCCAGGCAGGTGGGGAGCGTCCGCCTGCCCCCTGGCCGAGCTCCGCGCCCGAAGGAGCCGTCCGAGCCGCGCCCTGCCGCCCCTCCTTCCGAGCCCCTCCCAGGTTTTCGGAAAGGCCCGAGGCGGGGCGGGGGTCGACCCATCAGAGCGGCCGCATGGGCCGTGCAGAGAATGCCGAGTCGCGGGCCGGGAGGGGCAGGAAGCGCGAGCTGACACCCCGCGACCACCTGCTTTCCCTGCCTGCTCCCAGGGCCTTTGCGCTCCCCCCACCTGCCAAGCAGGCTTAGGATGGCGTCAGCCTCCCGGGATTAGTGAGGGGCACTTGGGGACAAATCCAGCCATCTCCTCACAGCCCTGGGAGGTAGGCCAGCCAGCAAAGGGGGCAGGCCCAGAGGGGGGGCGGGGGGGGGGCGCGGAGGCAGGGATAATCCTAACCCAGGAGAGCTGCCCTCCTGCCATCACTTGGAGCCCCCTCCATCCAGCTCCCCCCACCCCCAGGGGCATCTCTGGCCAACAGCTGCCTCTTCCGCCTGTCCATCCCATGGCTGGTACTCTGCCTGGCTGCAAGGCCGGCCTCTGATTGGATGCGGAGGCGGCAGCAGGGAAGGGATGCTGCAAGCAGGCAGAGGGAGGGGCCGGCAGTGCCAGGCGAGTGGCAGCAACGGGCAGGCGGGACGGGCACCGGGCCCACCACTGCAGAAGAGGTGGAGGACGGGAGGAGCCCCGGCTGAAGGTCCTGCCACGGATTTGTGTTGCCCTCCGGAAGTGGAGTTGGCCACACACCTGGGGGTGGGCAGGTAGGCACAAGCCACTCCCAGGCAGCTCTGACTGGCTCTCCTCCCTGCCGCGGAAGCGCTAGTGAGCGAAGGAGGCGGCAGGTGGGCCACGCGCCAGTCCAGGCTGCTTCTGACCTGAAAGCCACGTGTGCAGCAGGGAAACCCCCTTCCCACCCCCGGGCCCTTCTTCCCACGAGGGAGCCCATGGTCCCCTTCCCGTTGCCAAGAAGGCCATGCTCAGCGTGTGTGTGTGTGTGTGAGAGAGAGAGAGAGAGACTGGGCCCTCCATCCGTGAATGAATGACCCCTGCTGGACTTGTACATGGCTGGCTGGACACAAAAACTGGGGGGGGAGAGGGGAGTGTCATCCTTTAGGAGGGAGGCCTCAGCCCGGAGCGCCTGGCTTCAACCTTCCCCGAGGAGAAAGCCTCTTGCCAGTCCTTGGGGGCACAGCTGGGCAGGGGGACCCTGAGGGGGGCCTGGAGGGGAAGAAGCGAAAGGGCCGCCGGGAGACGCTGAGGAGGGAGGGGAGTCTCTCGTGGGGCTCCTTGCTCCTTCCGGCCTTTGCCTCCCCAGATGACAACCTGTCCGGCCTCAGCGGCATGGAGGTGGACGACCGCATCTCCTACCTGGAGCAGCGCCTGCAGCTGCAGGGGGACGAGATCCAGGTGCTGAAGGCAGCCCTGGCCGACGTCCTGCGGCGCCTGAGCGCCTGCGAGGAGAACGGGCTCAACCTCGCCAAGCGCAGACCCGACAAAGGTATCCAGGCGGGGGAAGGGCAGGGGGGCGGGCCCCGGAGGTCCGGCCGCCATGGAGTGCACGGCAGGCGGGCTTGGGGGGGGGGGGGGGCGGGGGTCGCGTGGAGCCCAGCCCTCCCTGACCCCCAGCCCTGTCCTGTCTCTCCTGCAGTTTACCAGCTGCTGCGGGGGCTCTCCTCCAGGCCCCCCCTGAGCAATGGGCCCGTCCCGCACAGGAGAGGCTACGCCACCTCCCCCTCGTCCCCCAAGAGGGAAGTCCTTACTGGAAAAAGGTGATGCGCTGGTCCACCAGGGGGCGCTGCCCCTTTTAGGAAGGGCGGGGGAGGGCGTGTAGAGGGAACCCCACCCGCAGGTTCCAGGGTTGCTGCTGCTGCTGCTGCCGCCTTCTAGGCGCCTTGAATCCAAAGGGGAATTCTAGCACCCAGCAGGAACGGAGAATCTGTGCCCGGCTCTCCTCAGGGCTCCCTCCCGAAGGGCGGGACGGATCAAAGGCTTTCAATATCGTTTTTCCGTTTTGAAAAACGTTCTGAAGGGTGGAAATTTCCCCCCAGGACCGAAATGCACCGAAACACGATCCATGCGGAATCGGGACTTCCTGCATTTCTTCCTGATGAAAATTAAGGCACCGCAGCGGAGTTGCAAGTTGCCAGGTGCAACACTGCTGCCTTCAATAAGCTCAAATTCCTCCAGAGTCCCCACCACGGACAGTACACGTAGTCTTCAACTTACGACCACGAGTGAGGCCAAAATTTCTGTTGCTAAGCGAGACAGTGGTTAAGTGAACTTTTGCCCCATTTAAGCACCCTTCTTGCCACTGCAGTTTTTTTTAAGTTAGTCCCATGGTCGTTAAATGAACCAGGCTTCCTCCGTTGACTTTGCCTGTCAGAAGGTTGCAAAAGGGGACCACGTGACCCCCAGGGATGCTGCGACCGTCGTAAATACGAGTCAGTTGCCAAGCGTCTGAATTTTGTTCAGGTGACCACAGGGACGTCGCACTGGTCATCCCTGTAGAAAAGGGCCATGGGTCGTTTTTTTCACGGCCATTGTAACTTCTAAGGTCACTAAATGAACTGTTGGGGGTCACCTCTGTTCTTTTTTTAAGAAAAGGGTTCAAGAAAGAGAAACGGAGTTTAGGTTTCGCAGGCAGGCGAGCAAAGTTAAGGGAAATCCTGTTTCCCCTTGGAAGAGGGTTCGTGCTTCAGTCTTGCACAAAGTCAGAGGAAGCCAGAAACTTTTGTGCGAGTCATGCAGGCGCCTCGCCCGACCTGGCTGTATCTTAGAGACAGCCTGATGCGTTTCCATCTCTGGCTCCAGCAGCAGCGACTCCTCTGACTCTGACTCTGGGGATGCGCAGAGCACAAACAAGCATTCCTGCCCAGGAGCCCTCCCTAAAGCCTGGCATTTTCACCCGCAGTGGGTGAGAAAACGTAGGCGTTACTTTTCTTGAAAACCTGGAATCGATGGAGAGAGGCAGAACTGAGGGAAGGGTGCAAACTACAGAGCAAACCACTCAAGTTGCTAGACCTCAAGTCCCTCTGAATGAAACCGCTTGCATTTGGTCAGGGAAGGAGCCTCTTCCCCTTGCAGTTTTTCCAGATGGTGGGAAGGGGGGCTCAGCCAGACGGTCGCCTCAAAAGGCCCCCCAAGTCTGGTCTCAAGAGTTGGAATTCAGAGGCAGGGGATTCTCCAGAAGGGGCCTTGTTTCAAATACTTTTCTTAATTGAAGAAAAGTAATTGAGGCTTGTTACGGTTACGAAGGATGTCTGGTTCGGTTCTAGGCTAGAGGAAGGAGATGCTGTGATTCCTGGAAGGACAAAGCAATTTCCAACCTTGGCCCCTTTAAGATAGGTGGACTTCAACTCCCAGAATTCCCCAGCTAGCTTTGAATTCTGGGAGTTGAAGTCCACCCCATCTTAAAGGGCCCAAGGTTGAGAAACTCTGCACTAAGAGACACAAGAAAAGGAGTGATTTTTAAAAAATAACCTTTTATATTGGCCACCTCCAGTGGCTCTGGTTAGATCTTGGGATAAACCATTTATTCCAGGATGGGAGGGGGTAGCAAATCATACCTTTACCTCTTCATACTGCACGTGGCAGAGTGGGGGGAGACAGGAAATCACCCCTCCAGGGTGGTTAGTGGCTCAGGGGGTGCCTCTTGATTCTCCATGGGATCGTGACATGGCTCCTGACCCCCATTTCACCCCCCCGCCGCTCTTCTCTGCTTCCTGTGCCGCTCTCCCACCTGCTTCTGCTGTGATGCTAACTTCTCCAGGGGGCCACAGAGAGGCCCCGTAGCCGGGGAACCTCCCCTCGTCTCTGCTAGGGGCCCGGGCCTACGTGAGGCTGAGTCCCCAGAGGGGCAGCGGGTGAACCCCGAAGGCACTCTTTAAGTTGGGGGGCAGGGAGACTGATCAGCCCGCCCGAGCCCCTGCTTCTAGCCCCCAAAGAGAAAGGGGGGGGATCTGCAGCCCTCTTCTTCTGCCATGGTCTCCCTGGCCTGGGGGAGGAAGCGGGGCGGCCCGGGGCCTCTTGAGCCCTTGCAACCCCAAAGAGCTCCGCAAAGCCTTCCCCTCCCAGCCCTCCAAGGGCAGGAGGGCCAGGCAGCCCCCAAGCGAAGGGCCCCACCCTCTCCCCTGCCTGCCTGCCTGGCTGCTTCTGCCTTTGGCTGCTTCGGCGGTGGCGGCTGTGAAACTTCCAGGGCCTCTCCGGCACATCCGGCAGCCTTGGATTCGGAAGGAGCGTGGGGCTTTCGCCTTCCATCCTCTCTGCCTGCATCTGCTTCTGCCTGGCTTCCTCCTCCTCCTCCTCCTCCTCCTCCATCGGCCGTCCCCCAGCTGGCTCACTCCCCCCGCTGCCCCCTCCCGCCCCCCCGCCTTGTCTGGCTCTCTCGCTCAGGCTCTCTCTCCTACAGCGGGCACAGTAGCTGCCCCTCGCCGGAGCTCAAGCGCGAGAGCTTCAAGGACCAGAGGAGCCACCCCACTTCCTCCAGCAGCTCCTGCAGCGGCAAACGCGAAGGGTACGTCTGAACTGACCGCTCGGGCAGATGCCCCCACTGCGTGCCTGCCACCCTCACCCTCACCATCACCCACCCACCCAGCCTGCTGCCAAACCAAGGTGGAAGCAATGCTGCCATGCCGAGAAGAGCACTCTGAGCGATGAAGCCAGTCAGGATTGGTCCCTCTTGATTCTGCCAAGTCCCTTTGATCTGAGGGGTCCGTGGCGGTTTTCTTGCAGACGTTTCACAACCCAAACTAGGAAAATCATCAGTGCTAAATTAAACCCCCCTCCCTTCCAGCACTGATGAGGTGACCTAGTTGGGTCATGAAACGTCTGCAAGAAACAACCAAGACCCCTCCTCCTCAGTTCAGCCCTGAACGACAAACATTCTCCTTTCCTAGTCCGTTTAGTCTGCCCGGGCGCTGGGCAGCTCAGACTTGGCAAGGCTTGCCCCAACCACTCTGCCCGGCAGCACAGCAGCCGACATCTTTAGCCAGCTGAGCTCAAAGAGAGTTACCTGCAGCCATGACACCTGGCACCAATGCAGGCCAGGAAAGTGGGCAGAAGGTGAGAGAAGCAGACGGAGAGAAGCTGCTCTGAGTGGTTCCTCTCGCCCCTTGACTGTCTCCAGGCCAGAGGTACAAGCCCCCACCCAGCGGCAGCCCACTTCAGCCCCCCATGCTCTGCGTCCGGCCTATGTCGGGGACCCCCCTCATTAACCCTCATTTCATGGAGCCGGGCAGCCTGGGGCCCGGATGGGCCTGGGACGGTCCTGCGGGTGACTTCTAGGCCCCTGGCCACCCCCTTCTCCCCCCTCCCGCCTCCCTGCACCTCGGGTCCGGCAAAGGCTTCCAGGAGAGCGGCGGAGAGACGGGGACGGCCCCCGAGGGCTCGGCCGGGCTTCGTCGGGGCCCTTCGGGCAACGCGGAGCTCACCTTGGGGCTCGCAGCCGCGGCTCCCCGAGGACCCAGCCGGGCGAGGGCGGCTCCCGGGCCCCGCCGGGACGCTCCTTTCCCGGCAGCGGCGCTCCTTTCCCGGGCGGAGCCGCCCCGCGCACGCCTCGCCTCGCCTAGAAGAAGCGCTGCCTGCCCGCCGGAGCCAGAGCGGAGCGCCAGCATGCGGAAGGCGGCCCGGCCCAAGAGCCCCGGGTAGGGCGGCTGCAGCCTCCGCGGGAAGGGAAGCGGCTCCGGCCACGCTTCGCCCTGCGCTGCCGCCCCGCAGAGCCCCGCAGCCCGGCTCGGCGCTGCCCGCCCGGCCCTGGAGAGCCGGAGGCGGCTTGGCGCGGGCCTTCCGGGTTGGCGGCGGGAGGATCCGCACTCGGCGCCTCGATCGCGGCTTCCCCGGGGCGGCCGTGCAGGCGCGGAGCAGGAGGGGCCGCGGTTGAGCGATGCAAGGGCCGCGCCGCCACCCCCGCGGAACGGAGTTGCCCCCGCACCCCTGTGCCGGGCGGGGGGGGGAAGGATGGAGTTTCGGCCGCGAAACTTCCTGCAAAAGGCGGGCGGGCAGGGGGGCCGGGCGCGGGTGCCCTGCCTCGCCGGACTTCGGGGCTTGGTGGCCGGACCGCTTCGGCCTGCGGGATTTTTCTTCCGGGTGGCTTAACGGGACGGGAGGGGGGAAGAAGGCTGGGACTTCTTGGGGGGCTCCGGTGCTTCTTCCCTTGGGGTCCTGTGGGACGTTTGCGGCTTTTTATCGGGGGGCACAACCTGCCCACCTCCCACCTAAGCCGCCAGGGCCGCTTGGGCGGCGGGTAAGCGTTGCTCCTTTTCCCGCATGGCCGAGCGGCCTCGGCGGGGGGGGCCGGTCTGTTGCAGCCCCAGCAGTGGCCGAGGGGCCGGAGCTGCTTCTCTCCCCCGGGCTTGGCCACGCCGCCTGGGGCTCCCGCGGGCCCCTCCTGGAAGAGGGCTCGGCCGGCTCTTCTGGTGGGCCGCTGGGGGCGGGGCGCGGCAGGGAAGAGGGGTGGGGTCCGGGCCTTGGGGATAAGCGGGGCAGGAAGAAGACGGGAGCGAAGGGGGGGCGGGGAGGGGAGGAGCCCCGAGGGGCGAGCAGGACCCTCCCTCCGCCAGGCAAGTATCTGGGTAACTTTGGGGGGGTGGGGGGGAAAGGGGGTCTGTGTCTCCCTTTGGGGGAGGCTGGGGGGGGGTCATCCAGGGTCAGCTGACTCTGCAATAGATATGGGGGGCTTATTTCCCCTCCCCACGTTCTCCCCCCCACTTTCCTATTTCTTCCCAATCAAGTTTCTCTCTCTCTCCATAGCAAACCAAAGGAAGCCACCTTCAATGCGGGTGAGTGGATGCAGCCCTGGGGTGTGTGTGTGTGTGTGTGTGTGTGTGTGTGTGTGTGTGTGTGTGTTCCCCCCCCCCCCGCTGATTTAAGTGGGGGGCGCCTGGAGGAGGAAACCCCCCAGGAGGGTGTGTCTGCATTCTCCCCCGTGGTCGGAGGTTTTCCAAAGAGTGGGGTGCAGAGCAATCCTAAAGAGATCCTAAAGATGGCATTGCCCCTCCTCCCTGTGGGCTCCTGCTTGCCCTTCCCTGCAGGCCACCTGTGGGGTGGGGCAGAGCTGGGAGTTTACCTGGCTTTTGCGGGGGGGGGGGCAGACGGGGGTCTAGCCAGCTGCCCTACCTGGCCTGGCCTCCCTCCCCTTCTGCCCTGCAGAGGATGGTTACGTGAAAATGTTCCTCCGGGGACGCCCCATCCCCATGTTCGTCCCCGATGCCGTGGTGGCCACCTACAGCCTGGACACCAAGCTGGACCTGCCCCACAAGAAGCTGAAGCTGGACTGGGTGTATCCTGCTCACGGCCGGGTCCCCCAGGCGGAGGGTGGCTGGGCCCCCCAAGTCGGCTCCGGGCGCCCTGGCAAAGTGTTTCCCCTTGACCCGGGCGGCCCCCCTGCTGCAGATACGGGTATCGGGGCCGTGACTGCCGGTCCAACCTTTTCCTGCTGCCCACGGGAGAGATTGTCTATTTCGTGGCTGCCGTGGCCGTCCTTTACAGCGTGGAGGAGCAGAGGCAGCGCCACTACCTGGGCCACACCGACGATATCAAGTGGTAGGAAGGGAGGGGCAGGAAAAGAAGCACCGCCGGTTTAGGGGAGGGCACCGGCCCTCGCCAGAAGTGGGGATTGCCCCGGGGAGAGGGTGGTTGGCGAAGGACGCGGGGAAGGGCTGGGGAGGCGGGAGGAGCCCTTTGGGGTGTCCTGCACCCCTGCAACCTGGGCCTTTTGCTCCCCCCCTTAGTTTGACCGTGCATCCAGACATGGTGACTGTGGCGACCGGACAGGTGGCCGGGGCGTCAAAGGACGGCAAGGTGAGGGACGGGGCCTACAGGAAGGCTGGCCAGGAGAGACCAAAGGGCAGGCTGTCCATTTGGGGAGGGGGCTGCGGTTAGAGAGAGAGAGAGAGAGAGAGATTGGCCGGAGAAAACTGCCCCCAGTTAGAGCTGCATTAATGCCACCTGCAAACACTGGCTGCCCAGTTGCACCGGCTGCTTGGGAGCATTTAAAAGCGGGCATTGCCCGGCAATTCTCCCCCCCCTCCCCCCCGCCGGTGTGTCAGGGTGTTTCAGCCTGCAGGTTGCAGAGCCCTGAGCCGCCCGGGGTTTGCTCTGGATGTGCCAGTCAGCGGAGCTCTTGGGGGACGCGCTCCACTCGCCTTCCCTTTCCCCCTGTGGCTAACGCGGCATCCATGGGCAACGAGCTACACAAGCCGCGTCGGCCTTCCCGGAAGAAATGCTCTGGGCCTCAAGGTGCTCCCCGTGTCTCCCACAGGTGTTGCCGCCCCAAGTGCGCATCTGGGACTCCGTGAGCCTCAACACCCTCCACGTCCTGGGGCCCGGACCGTTTGACCGAGCAGTGACCTGCGTGGGATTCTCCAAATCTGTGCGTGAGGCTCCCTCCTGCCGCCCCCTCCTTCTGGGGACCCCCCAAGTTGTAGCCAGATTAGAAGATGGCCCATCCTTGGATGGGAGCAACCTCAGGCCCTTTGAGGTGGGAGGACTTCAGTGCCCAGAATTCCCCAGCCAGACAAGCTGTCAGCAGGGCTGCCTGGGGGCTTCTGGGAGTTGAAGTCTCCAAGTCTCAAAGCTGCCACGTGTGGAGTGACCCCTCCCCCCAGCTGAGAGCCCCTGCCCACCTGCCCCTCTCTCCCCTCTGCCCAGAACGGGGGCGGCCTCCTGTGCGCCGTGGACGACTCCAACGACCACGTCCTCTCCGTCTGGGACTGGCAGAAGGAGCAGAAACTGGCCGACGTGAAGGTAGCCGCCTCGCTCGCCTCGCTTCCTTGCACCCAAATCCGGCACGCGTGTTTCACGTCTGACGCTCTCCCCTCCCTCCCTCCCAAGTGCTCCAACGAATCCGTCCTGGCCGCCACCTTCCACCCCACGGAGCCCTCCCTCCTCATCACCTGCGGGAAATCCCACCTCCACTTCTGGACCCTGGAAGGCAGCAGCCTCAGCAAGCGGCAGGGCATCTTTGAGGTGAGAGGGGGGGGGAGGGGGAGGGGCAGCTTGAGGGCCCCCCCGCCACTCCCTGCGTCCACCACGGCCCTGAAACCAGCAGCCTCTCAGCTTCCGCAACGGCAGGTCAGAGGTTCCGCGGGAGCAGAGAACTCTGGGAAATGCAGGCCCCCCCATCGGCCTCCCCGGCCCCCTTGGGGGGCTCCTCTCGGGCCGCCTGCTTCCCTCCCCTCAGAAGGAGGAGAAGCCGCTGCAATTTAGGCTCCGCACGTTTTGTTTCAAATGGAGGACCTGCAAGTCCCCAACTTACAACGGTTCGCCTAGGAACTGTCCGAAGTTACCACTGCCCTGAAAAAAGGCCCTCATGGTGGTTTTCTCACTTAACGAGCATTGCAGAGCAGTCCCCGTGGTCACGTGATCCACATCCAGGCGCTTGGCAACTGACTCCTACTTATGACAACGTCCCCTGGGGGGTCACGCGATCCCCTTTTGTGACCTTCGGACAGGCAGAGCCAACGGGGAAGCCAGGCTCACTTAACAACCATCTTACTAGCTTAACAACTGCAGTGATTCACTTAGTAACGGTGGCAAGCAAGGTCATAAAATGAGGCAAAATTCACTAAACAACCGCCTGGCTTAGCCCCAGAAACTTTGGGCTCCGTGGTCGTCACAAGTCGAGGCCTCCTGAGGCTTTTCTGCAGCCGAGCGCCCCCCCACCCCAAGGCCTGGGGCAGATATCGGGGGGGGGGGGAAGGGGGGGCTCTGAGGCTTTCCTTTTCCCTGCAGAAACACGAGAAGCCCAAGTACGTTCTCTGCGTGGCCTTTACGGAGAACGGGGACACGGTGACCGGAGACTCGGGGGGCAACCTCTACATCTGGGGCAAAGGTCGGTTGGTCCTCCTTCCTCCCCAAAGGCTCCCTGGACGCCCCTGGCCAGGCAAGGTCTTGGCTTGGCGTAAACCAGGGTTTGTTGATCAAATCCCTGTTGGCTTCTGCAAGCCCATCTGGGCTGCTGGCTTCATGGTCTCCCCAGGCCAAGATGATGGGAGCTGAGCCCTGAGCCCTATTGGTCTGGGGCGGGGGACTCCGAGACCCCCAGACTTCTGGGCTTGACGGGGAGGGGGGGATTCTGGGAGTTGGATTCCACGCATCTTAGAGCTCCCAAGGTTGGGGACCCCTGCTATGAGACCAAGAGCGCCCCCCCCCCCCCCGCTTGTGGGGCAGGAGGCAGAGTCCCACCCCTGGGTCTTGGGGAGGGGCTCTGCCTAAGAGCCAGCTGCTGTGTTCCACTGATGCCCTTCACTGGCAGGGGGGAACCGGATCTGCCACGCGGTGCCAGGCGCCCATGAGGGGGGCATCTTCGGCCTCTGTGTGCTGCGGAATGGGACCATCCTCACGGGGGGCGGCCGAGATCGGCGGGTGGTGCTTTGGGGACGGGATTACCAGAAGCTGCAGGAGAACGAGGTGAGAACCGGGGCCAAAGAGCCAGAGAGGGTCTCGGCTTTGGGTCTCCGGGGAGAGGGGAAAGCGCTCGCTCTCCGCGGGGGCATCTTTCCAAGCCAGGAGAGGTCTGGGGGGGGGGCGGGAGAGGGGGGTAACACGTTCTGGGCTTCTCCAGGACTGGCTGAGGGGCTGTTTCCGCCTGTCTGTCCCTCTGGGTGCTCCGAGGAATAGGGATCGATCCTAGAAGTCCTGATGGATCAGGGGGTTGGACTAGAAGACCTCTGCTTTTCCCTGCAGGTCCCGGATGGCTTCGGGCCAGTGCGCACCATTGCGGAAGGGAAGGGCGACTCGCTCTTTGTGGGCACCACACGCAACTCTGTGCTGCAGGGCTCCCTGCTGACCGGCTTCTCTCTGCTGGTGCAGGTACCGGCCTGTGCGGGGGTGGTGGTGGCCCCAGATGGCTGCCCCAGGGGAAGGCCAGGCCCTCAGGGTCCGGGCCGGCTGACCCCCGCCCTCTCCCCCGCCAGGGACACACGGAAGAGCTTTGGGGCCTGGCCACCCACCCCTCCCTGGACCAGTTCCTGACCTGCGGGCAGGACAAGCAGGTGCACCTGTGGAGCGTGGCCTCCCACCAGCCGCTGTGGAGCAAGGGGGTTGAGGTGAGCCCGGGTCTCCGGCTGCAGGGGGGGGCGGCTGGGGCAGGGAAGAACCCTCCCCGGCTTGGAAGGGCCTGAATGCTTTCCTCTCTTCCAGGATGCGGCTCGCTCGGCCGGCTTCCACCCCAACGGCTCGGTCCTGGTGGTGGGCACGGTCACGGGCAGGTGATGGACCCAGGGGGCCCTGGGGGCAGGAGGGGGGAGGATCTCGGGGGGGGGGCTTTCTGCCCTGCCCTGCTGCCCCTCTGGGAGAGGTTGGCCTGAATGGCTGCCCAAAGGAGGAGTGGGGAGGGGTCCCAGGACCCCCCCCCCGCGGCTGCTGGCCTCAAACTGGAGCTCCTGGCGTGGGACAGGCCAGCTCCTCTCTCCCTCTCGGCGCAGTTCCCATCCCCCTGCCCTGGTGCGCTTGCTCTGCCTCGACACGGGGAGGATGCAGGGGGCAGGCGGAGCGAGCAGTGGGCATCTGCAGTCCTTGCGGGGCTCTGGCCTGCCGTGACATCTGCCCCGCTCTGCTTTCAACCAGGTGGCTAGTGCTGGACACGGAGACCCGGGATCTGGTGGCCATTCACACGGACGGAGGAGAGCCCATCTCCGTGGTCAGCTTTTCCCCAGGTTGGAAAGGGGGGGGGGGTTTGCTACGGACGGGCAGGGGTTGCAAGAACTCCAGGTGGGGCTTTGCCCAGGGGGAGGCAGTCCGGGGCCCTCCATGGCCTTCGGGGAAAAGGACACAGAGACACATTCGGAGGAGATTTCTTGGCGTCTGAGCCCTCGATGCTCCTGGGGGATTTTGAGAGAGAGGTGGGCGGTTTAGAAATAGAGAAGTAGAGGATGAATGAATGAAATACATTTTATCCGCCCTGTTGCCCCCTCTCTGACTCCCCCCCCACCCGCTTTTTTTCTGCTTTCCAGACGGGAAGTACCTGGCTTTGGGGTCCCACGACAACTTCGTTTACATCTACCTGGTTTCCGAGGGTGGCAGGAAATACGGCCGGGTTGGCAGATGCTCAGTGAGTGGAGGAGGGAGGCCCTTCCCGAGCGGGGTCTTCAGGGGGGCCCCAGGGTGGGCTAGGGCTCATTTGAGCGGAGCGCCCGGGGCTCAGCTGGATGGCCCAGGACTGCCAGCTTCTCCTGCGGAGTCTCGGGGGCTCCCGCAGCAGCCGCGAGTTCCAGAGTCTCCTGGAAGGCCGAGAGAAAAGGAGGGCGCTGAGCGAGAATCTTCCGAGGGCTGACTCGGGTGTCCTCCCTGCCTCAGGGCCACTCCAGCTTCATCACCCACCTGGACTGGGCCTCCGACAGCAGCTGCTTGGTCACCAATTCGGGGGATTATGAGATTCTGTACTGTGAGTCTTCTGAGGGCTGGACATTCACTCCACCTTGTTCAAACCGCCCGTCGCCCCCACAGAGGGACCGGCCTCCACTGCCCTGTCCTTGCCTGGGGGTGGGGTGTCCCCCCCTTCAGTTTGAACCCGCTGGGCGAGGAGGGTGGCCTTTGGCTCTTTCCTGGCCCAGGAGGGACGCCCAGCCCGAGGACAGCCGAGCCAGGCTCCCCCTTCCGCCCTTGTTGGCTTCAGGGAAGGGGAGGGCACGGAGCCCCCTCCCTTAGCGGCCTCTTCCTGCCCACCGGAGCCGACTGGCACCAGCCTCCGGAAGGGCCACTCTGGGCCCCACCCGCTCGGGTCTCTCAGGCTCCCTTCTCCTGGGAGGTGCCGTTGTCCCTTCGGGCGGCGTCTCCCCCATGGGCAACTTCAGGACTTGTGGGCTTCAACTCCCAGAATTCCTTGGCCAAGACAGAGCCCCGCCTCAGGGCACACGCAGCGCTCTGAACCCGCCTTCCTCCCCATCCCAGGGGACCCCTCCACCTGCCGGCAAATCACCAGCGCCGAGGCTGTGCGCAACCAGGAGTGGGCTACCGCCACCTGCGTGCTGGGCTTTGGGGTGTTTGGTGAGTGCCATGGGGCAGGCGTGTGGGCGCCAGGAGGGTGTCTGCGCCAGGAGGGTGTCTGCGCCTGGGCCAGCAGGGAGCCGCACAGGCCTAACTCCACTGGGATCCTCTCACCTCCAGCATCTTTTGAGGGGGGGAGGGGCGGTTCTTTGAGGGACTTGAACCTCAGAAATTCGGCCTCTTGCTGACCGTTTCTCCTGCCCCCGAAGGGATCTGGCCTGAGGGGGCGGATGGCACCGACATCAACGCAGTGTGCCGTTCCCACGAGGGGAAGCTCCTGGCGTCAGCCGATGACTTTGGCAAAGTGCACTTGTTCTCCTACCCTTGTTGCCAGCCACGGGTAAGCAGCTACGGCGGGACCCTCCCGGACCTCTGCCGGGGCCTCTTCCTCCTCCTCCTCCTCGCTCTTGGGACAGTCCCCTGGCTGCCTGGTGCCCCAGGTGTGGGCCAGAGGGTCCCCCAGAGGCTGAAACGGTGCCTCTCCGCCAAGAATAAGGCCATGAAAGGGCTTGGGGGGCGGGGCAGGGTCCACTGGCACGGCAGAACCACCCAGACTCTCCGGGTTTCCCTCTCGGGGGGAGGAGGACCCAGTTTGGAGTGGAGGTTCAGGTGCTGCAGGCGCTGGCCTAGAAACCAGGAGTTCTAGTTCTGTCTTAGCCGTGAAAGGCAGCTGGGCGGCTTTGAGCTGGTCCACCAGGTGAGAGTGAATTATAGTCCCACCTTAGACATGACAGCCATCAGGGTGGCTTTGGGCCAAACACCAGGAGGCCGGGAGTTCAGGTCCCACTTTAGGCCCCAAAGCAGGCTGGGTCTCTTTGGGCCAGTCCCTCCCTCTCAGCCCAGCCCACCTCACAGGGTGATTGTTGGGAAAAGAGGATACTTACAAAAATAACAAAGGCAGGATAAAAATCTGGTCAATCATCGTCATCCGAAGCGCCAGACAGAAGCGCCTGAGGTTCGCTGGGATTTGAAACCCTCCTCAGCCAGCGGGTGGGGGGGGGTGTAAGGCCCCCAAAGCCCCTCCGGAGTGAAGGGCAGAGTTTGTGCGCTTTGGGGACCAGGCTGGGCTGTCAGGACATCAGCCCCGGGGGAGTGGGGGGTGGCACAAGGCTCTAGGCCCCTCCCCTCTGACCCCCCCTCTCCTTCCCCAGGCCCCCAGCTACACTTACAGCGGCCACAGCAGCCACGTCACCAACATCGCCTTCCTCCACGATGACAGCCTGCTGCTTTCCACCGGTGGGGTGGACACCAGTGTCCTCCAGTGGCGCCTCGTGTAGGGAGGGAGGGAGGGAGGGGGGAGGCGGCCAGCGGTGGTGGGGCGGGGGGGTGCAAAGGTGGGGGAGGGGAGGGGTGGGGGGGTTGCATCCTGTTAAACGCTTTGGGGAGGGTTTAATACTCAGGGGAAGGGGACGGGGGTGCTGGGGGCTGAGACGGAAAGAGGCCCTTGGAGAGATTGTGGGCAGCTATATTTACAGAAATAATCCCTATATGAATAGCGATAATATATATCTAGATCGATCTCTATATATATATCTATATTTAAAGGCAGAAGGTTGCACAGGCTGAGAATGTGAGGGAGTTGAGGAAGGGCGGGGGGGAGGGGCGCAAACCGCTCTCTCGGCCTCGGGTTCAAGAGCCCCCGGCAGGGAGAGCTGGAGCCCTCCGGGTTCTTTCCGACTCCTCGGGTGCTTTGGGGCACGTTTGCACTATGAATGGAAGCCAGCTGGGCTCCTTGTTGGAATTCGGTTTGTTTCCCCTGCAATCTGCGGAAAGGGGGTGGCCGCCATCCTGAGGGTCCCAGCGGGGAGGCTGCCCGTGCACACCTTCCCTGAGAGGGGAGATGGAGCGGGGCGGGGGGGCAGGACCCTGGGCTTGCTCCCCTTTGGGCCTGGCGCAGTTGCCTCCCTCCTCAGCTGCCCGGTCAGAATCCAGCCCTCAGAGGGTGGGCAGAAGCCCCTCTCCCCCCCCCACCCGGCTTCCTCCCAGGGGAAAACGAGGCTGCGGGGCAGAGGGGAAGATCCCAGGCCAGGTAGAAGCCCTGAGGTGTTTTCTGGCACAGGGCTCTCCGACCTTTGTGGACTTCAACCCCCAGAATTCCTGCAGAGCTGGCTGAGGAATTCTGGGAGATGAAGTCCACCAAGGTTGGAGTGCCCTGTCCTGGGACTTGCTTTGCCCCCAGCCAAGTTCATCTGGGAGGGGGAGGGGGCAGCAACCCAGGCAGGAGCAGAGACAGCCAGGCCCAGCCCCGACTTCCCTTGCGGCCTCAGACGACTTAATTCACTCTTTTTGCGATGGCAGCATTGTGAATACACGCACACGCATGCACGCGCACGCACACTGGTGAGTGCCCTGGGTGCTCTTGGCGGGGTCTGATCTTGGTCAGGCAAGGAGCCCCCCCCCCCGGGCATTCCCCTCCCCTTTCTTTCCTCCAGGCTGCCTGCCCAGCCCCCTCCCCGCTTGGCCAGGCCACCCCGGCTTGCCCAATCCAAGGGAAGATACGAGTGGTCCTCGACTTACAACCTTTCGTTTAGTGACAGTTACAACGGCACTGAAAAAAGGGACTTATGGCGAGTTTTCACACGTACGACCATTGCCACATCCCCATGGTGGCGGGATCCAAATTCAGGCAGCTGGCTCATCATCCTGATGGTCACGGGATCCCCTGGGAGGCGAGGGGGGCAGCAGCCAGGAGTTGATCTGCTCCTGATGCCAAAGGGGGACCGGAGACCCTTCCCTCCCCTTGGGCAGGGGAGGGGGCTGGGCGGGGGGGGGGGCTCCGTTTGTAAAGGGGGGGCACCTTGTCTGTCCAGAGAAGTCGAGAGCATTCAGGGCTGTGGGGAAAGCTGAGGTGGCGGGTCAGTAGAGTCACAGTTTCAGCCCAGGGTCTTCGAGGGTCTTGGGGCATCCTCCTGCTTTGGGCCAGGCGGCTGAGGGGGCTTGCAGGGGCCACACCGGTTGTGGGGCGGGGGGGGAGGGGGACTTGGAGTGACCACAGCATGACTGTCTTCTGTATTTTCCAAAGAAAAAGCACTGGGGGGAGGGGGACCAGGAATTGTTTAATAAGAACACAATCCAATAAAGAGAGGTAGAAGAACACACATCGTCTCCGGTGCATAAATGTCATTGCTGGGGGCAACTTTTGAACCGTGAGCAAGCTTCGCCGGCGCCGACAGGCACACAAAGGCTCATCTGGGCTCCTCCGGGCCGAAGGTTGCAATCCGACATCTGGGCAGGCTGCTCTGTGATTGCGGCTCTCCGCCCACTGCCAGGCCTGGAGAGCAACGGGAACAGATGGGCAGCCTGTGCCAGTGACGTGCCCTGCTCCGTGTTGCTGCCTGGGTGGGGCCGATGCTTCTGCTCTGCTGGAGCCCAAGAGGGTGGGGTTGGGGTGGACTAGAAGACCTCCAAGGCCCCTTCCATTATTGTTTGAAATTGGTAAGGAGGCATTTCAGAGGCTCCAGACGGAAAGAAAGCAAAGGGGAAGGTTTTAGAAAGGCAGGAATGTGCCAGTGCCTGAGAGGTGCAGCATTCCACAGTTAGTGTGCTTGGGGGGGGGGGGGGGTTTTGGGGGTGAAAGCTTGCACCCCCCCAGCTGAAAAACACGGCCCCAAGTCCGCCCTTCCTCCAACAGACCAGCGTGTCGCACTGAAGCCGCCTGCCTGGCAGGGCCACGCTCTCCCTTTGGCAGTTGGTGCCACTGCCACGACTCTCCTGCGCACTCAGGGGTGTCCTTTCTGCTGGTTTCTTATTAAAGGCAGAAACTCTCTCGGAGGAGAGACAAAGGTCGCGGCCTAAATCAGCTGCAGGGAACTGGATCTCACCCAAACACTGGATCCGGTTCCTTCCAACCAGCGGCGAGCTGGAAACCCCTCCAGCTCTTTGGTGGGGAGGCGGGGGGGGAAGTCCAGCGGTAGCCTAGAATTACCCAGGCCCATAACTGGCACCACGGAAGTGCCTTCTGGGTTTGCTGGGCGCTAAGCAGCTTGGTGGGGGTGGGGGTGGGGGGAGGAGAAAGTTTTGAAAACTTTGTACTGGAAAGGGATTGCTGCCCCTCCCAGGTGGCCGCTGGCCTTGTGTTTTCTCAAGCAACTGTGACGGGGGACCAGCTGACCGATTTAATCGCCATTCAAAATAAGTAAAGTAGAGCAAATTCGTCTTTGGCTCCCCTCCTGGTAATGCAGTTGTGCAGAGGGAGGACCGGCCGTTAAAGGGCAGCGTGTCTGGAAGGAAGTCGCAAACTGAAGAAGAAGAAGCGGCTTTTAAACAGAATTCCAGGCTCAGCTTCGGTTGCCACGCTCTTAAGCCAGAGGTCTCCAACCTTGGCAACTGTAAGACGGGTGGACTGCAACTCCCAGAATTCCCTTGCCAGCAAAGCAAAGCAAAGCAAAGCTGGCTGGGGAACTCTGGGATTTGAAGTCCACACGTCTTAAAAGTTGCTGAGATGGAAAAACACCGCAGTAAGACCAAACCAGATTTGTCCCTTTGGCATTCCTCCCCGCTGACATTTCAACTTTCCTAGAATCACCTCACAAAGAGAAAAGCCCGCACCTTTTTTCCTCTTTACCTGGACCCAAAAGGTAGCCTGGCTTCCTCTCCAGCTCATCCTGGGCTTCTTCAGAGCAAAGCAGGCAGGGGGAGTTACTCCTTAAGGCAGAGGTGGGGCTGCAGGCTGCTTGGAAGCTCATTGACCTCCCCCCCCCCCCGAGCCAGGGGCCCTTGGGGGTTTATGGGGGCCCTTGGCAGAGTTATATACAACTTTACTGGGGCCAAAGCTCAGCAGAAGACCTGCAACTCCTGGGTGAAGATTTCAAGTGGCAGAAGAAAAAAAATATCTCCCCTCTGACCGAGATCTTGCAGAACTGTTTCCGGCCAGAAATGTGCCAACCTGCCCTTAACCCAGGTGTGTCTTTCCCGGGCTTCCAGGCCCTTGAACTACAGGTCCCACCATCCCTGGGCAGCCTTGCCCAGCAGCATGGCACTTCCACCGGATGTCAGCGTTGAAACCCCAGAGCCGGAGGGGGTTGACAATGGGAGACCTGATTCCACCATCGGTAACCGGCTCAATTGTCTCCCCTGGGTCTGTGGAGATTCTCAGTCCTCCAGGTCTGGGCTGCCCCACACAAAGGTGCGTTTTCCAAAAGGCAATGGGACTTTCTTGACTCTTTTTCCCTGGAAAACGTTTCGCTTCTCCTCCAAGAAGCTTCTTCAGTTCTGAAGACCCACTTAATGGCAGAGAAGAAGCTTCTTGGATGAAAGGCAAAACGTTTTCAAAGAAAAAAACCCAAGAAAAGTCCAGTTGCCTTTTGGAAAAAGCCCCGTTGGGTATCCTGACCTTGAAAATCAAATTGGGGGGCGTGTCTGCATTTCCTGCAAGGGGGGCATTTGCGAGGCAAGCAGGCTCTTCCCGCCCCGAAGGAGCTTCGCTGTGGGGTCATGGACCGGAGGGCCCTGTGATTGATCGGTCCCTGCACCCCCAGCCCCAAATCCGAAAGCTCTCGAAGGGTCCCGGCCTGAAGTCTCCAGGGCTGCTTTGATGCTCAAGGACGGAAGAGGCCATGATGCGCTTTAGGAGGCCACAGCGGCTCAGCCAAGACCCCCCCACACACCTTTGACTAGCCCGGGGGGCCTCCCGTAAGGGTGGGCAAAGGGCCGCAGGGACGGAGGCCCCCACCTGTGGGACTTCCTCCCCAGAGGCCGGCTCTCCCACTCGTCCGCCCCAAAGCCTTTGCCTTCATTCTGGGGAAGGGGGGTCCTGGCTGCTTGGACCCCCCCCCCCCCCAAAACTTAGGCTTCCTATCTGCTGGCTCTGCTGGGAGCCTTCTGGGCAGAGGGTCCCACCGTCTCCTCCCCTCCCCCCCAGCCCCCCCCGCTTCCTTTGCTGTGGTTGAAGGTGCCAAAGGCGCTCTCCGGTTCCTCGGGGACCCTTGCAGGCCACCCTGCTGCCTGCTGCCTGCTTTCCTCTGACTTATTCATGAGCAGCTGCTGAGCAAGGCAGCCTCTGGGCTGAGCTGGCTCCGCTCCTGCTCCTGCGGCTGGCCTGGAGGAAGGAAAACACAGGTCGGCCCCAAATCCCGGTTTAGCGTCGCCGGCTGCCAGGACGATCCTTGGCTGGAGCGGAGCCATGCCGGGAAGGGTTTGGGGTGGGACGCGTGCCTTTGGCCCCAGCCGATGGGAGGGTCTTGTAGCTGCTCTCTGAGTATGCTCAGAGCTCCTCACCCCTCCGAGGAAGGGCCTCCACGGTCTCAAGCAGAATCCCTCCGGGGGGTCGGCTGAGCTCTGGCCGTTCCGCTGCACGGAGTCCCTGCACAATCGGCCGGCCTCCAGCGGAGGAAGACCTCCTGCGACTACACCCCAAGCAGACTCGGGGCTCAGGTGGGTTCCCACCCGAGAGGCTCATTGCAAGTGCTCCTAACCTGGGGGAGGGGCGTTATTGGCCACCTCCAGAAGGAAACTGGGACTGGTCCCCCTCCTGGGAGTCTCCCCTCATTCAGCTCCTTTTGCAAGTGGCTGCACCTGGGAGGACCTGCCGGGAAAGTATCAGGATTCCCCCCCCGGACCCGGACGAGGCCAAAGGCCGTTGTCTGCAGCCCAAAGCTCAGCAGACCATCCTGGGGGGGGGGGAACCTTGCCTGTTGTGGGGCTCCGGCTCTGTGGCTGCTTCCGGTCTGGTGGGTTGTGCAAGTGAAAAACTTTGGATCCGCCTGCAAGCTGTGGCTAAAGGAACCCCAAGTCCCTGGTGGCCAGACAGCCCCTCAGGTGGCAGGGCAAGGAAACCTGGGCTGGAACTTCCCTCACTTTGACAGGCTCAAGGGGCTCTTAAACTGGGGGTGGGCAGGGGGTCTTCCTTGATATGGATGGGAAGCCAAACTCTGGAATGCAAATGATGAAGTCTGGGGTTTAAATGCAGCTCTCTCTCTCTCTCTCTCTCTGTGTGTGTGTGTGTGTGTGTGTGTGTGTGTGTGTGTGTGTGTGTAAAAGGCAGGAGAAAGGTGTGCTTGTTTGGTTGATCTCTCCTGGGATTTTCATTCCGCTGCACTTCCAGGGCTTAGCCGGCTGAATCACTGAGCATCTTTAAATAGGCGCAGGTAAGTCTTCCAGGCCGCTCCGCTATTAAAATATGACAGATTACCTGCTGCTTCACCACCTGGCCCCTTTTACCTTTCCGGACCCTGCCTGTCTGCCTCCTGTGAGTTGTGGGGGGGGGGGTTTTTCAGGGCTGCAACGCGGGGGGGGGGCGGGAGTCTCTTGGGGGTTTGGGAGCTAAGGGGGGAGGGTCTCCATGCAAGGGAGAGAGGTGGGAATTGGGGCAGGACGCTGGAAAGGGAGGGAGGAGGAAGACGAGGCAGGAAGTGGCTCCTCCAGGACAGAGGCCTTCCCGCCCTCTGCCGGTGGGGTGGTGGGGCTGAGCCGTCCAAGGGTCTGCAGGCAGCGGGATGCCCCTTCCTGCAAAACGCTGGCTGACCCTCCAGGCCTTGGCAGCCTCAGCACTCTGGTTTGGTGGCTCCTACGGGGGGGGGGGGGGGGGCCCCCCCCGCCGGCCCCCCGGACAACGGCTGGGGGGGGGCTTGCTCATTAGCCAGGAGCCCCCCAGGCACAAGCGAGGGAGCCCTTGAGCGGCTTCCCAGAGAAGCAGCTGCTTTCCAGGCACTGGAAAGGTGGGCGAGCCCCCCCCCCCCCCGCCCCCCGCCCCCCCCCCGGGGGGGGCCCGCCCCCCCCCCGGCCCCCGCCCCCCGGGGGCCGGAAGGGCGGGGGGGGGGGGGGGGCCCCCCTTGTTTTTTGGGGGGGGGGGCCCGGGGGGGGGGGGCGGGGGGGCTCTTCTTGGCGGAATCCCTTGGGCCCAAAGAGCAAATCATGGGGTGGGGGGGTCTCTTTCTGATGCTCGGAGGGCAGTTTTGGCCCCCTCCGCCCCGGGTCGCTGGCGGGACTGAGCTGGGAGGGAGCTGAGCTTTGCCGGGCTCCCGAGAGCGTCGGGACGCGGAGGTCCTGCCAGGAGGGTCCCCCGACCTCGGCCGGATCCCCCTCCGGCTTCCCCTCCGCCTCCGCCGCCAGCCCAAGCGGGCCCGTCGCCTCTGGCTGAGCTGCCCCTCCCCACCTGGGAGCCCCCCCGCCTCTCCGGCGGCCCCTCGGGGGGGGGGGGGGCCGGCAGCGAGCGGGTTAAGCGGCTCCCCGCCCCGAGAGGCTGGCTCCGGAGAAGGCGCCGCGCCGAGAAAGTCTCCGGGCAGCCGCCGCCGCTCACTTCGGGCTGAGCCAGGCGGCGAGCGGACGTCCCGATGGAAGCCGGGCAAGATGCCCCGCCGGCGGTGTGAGCGGCTCCCCCGCGTCCCCTTCGGAGCGCCGCCGCCCCGGAGGAGCCCCCCGACCTCGGCGGCGGCGGCGACCTTCCCGAGAAAGTCTCAACCGTGAGCATCCGCTGCCCGGGACCCGGTCGGGGCGGAGGGGGAATGGGGGTCCGTTGCTTGGCCGGGGGCGGGGGGGGGGGGGGGGGGGGGGGCCCGCCGCGTGGGGGGGGGGGGGGGGGGGCGACGGGGCGCCTCCCTGGAGTTAAGGCAAGCCCTTCCGGGGGTCTGAGCCGAGCGCAGCCGTCCCAAGAGAGGCTAAAGAGGGTCTCTGAGCATGTACCAAGTGCTTTGCCTTCACCGCGTGAAAGTTGGCAGGTGGTTGGAGACCAAGGCATGGGGGGGGGGCGCTTCTCCACCCACTCGTGATCTGACTGACACAACAGTGCTGGGATGTAGGCGCGGCTGTTGCCCCATAAGCCCAGCGGAGGGAGGGAGGGGGCCGGGGGAGGGAGCATTCCCCTCCTCCTTGAAAGGCACTGCAGGGCTGCCTGCCTGAATAAATACGGGGGGGGGAGTTTCTGGAGCCCAGCCCACCAGGCAACGTTTTGCCCTCTGCCAGGTTAACAACTCCAGCCTGGCAGCCTGCTTGCTTGGCACAGAGGAAAGACACTCTGCATATTCCCAGAGGCCGGCGGCAAAGGAGTCCAGACGCACCAGGCCATCTTTTTCAGGCAGTTGGGGTGGGGGCAGATTGGCAAGGGTGGGGGGCACACAAGACCTCCCTAGGCAGAGGGAAGACCGTCCTAGTTGATACAGCTCAAGGGTCGCCAACTTTGGCCACTTCAGGACTTTGCCTCCCAGAATTCCCCACCAGCAGAGCTGATCTGAAGTGGCCGAGGCTGGAGACGCCCGCTAGCTGATCCTTGCCAGGCAGGAGAAAAGCGGCAACTGGGCAGGGCGTCTTTTGTGTGGGCAGCCCAGGCTCTGCGCTGGGGTCTCTGGGGAGCCCCACAAGGGAAGGGCAGGAGGGAGAGAGGGAGTTCGGTCCCCCGCTGACCACCAAGGCGGAAGCTGAATCCAGTCCCATTCTGGTTCCCGGGGCCTCTCCAGCACCCAGGCTGACCGGCCCCAGGGGCTCCAGCTTGGGCACCCGACTGGCACCCCAGCTCCGGTCCGGAAGCTCCCTCCCAGGTCAGGGAATGGGGGGCTTTCCAGCCCACAGGCCGCCCCCAAGGGGTCGGCTTTTCCTTGGGGCTCTGGCCCCCCACGCTGGCCACGCCTCAAGCGAGACTTCCACCCGTCTCCCGCGGCATCCCGGGGAAAACGCCGGGAGGGGAAACGGGATGTTTCCAGCAGGAGGAGCAGGAAGCCCCCCCACCCCCACCCCATCCTCCTCTGTCCCTCTGACCCGCCTGAAATGTATTTCTATTTTCATCTTTACTGACTTGCTGCGCAGATAACAAAATTGTGCTGATAACCTCAACAAATAATGGAGTTTCTGGCGATAATGAAATCAGTCCAAATGCAATTTCGAAACCACAGAGCACATGGCGGGTGGGAGCCAAGCAGCCGCTTCCTCCTGCCTGGTTCAAGCTGTGCCGTCTCCCCTGCCATATGCCTGCCGGGGACGGACACCTGGACCACCCTCCACCTCTGTTCCAGCCTGGACTTGGGGCGAAGGGGGGAGCGGGGGCAGAGGAGGCTCGCTGGCTCTTTGGGGGCTTTTAATGCCAAATGTCAGAGCCTTTTCGGGAGTGGATCCATGTCTGCGAAGTTCCTTTAAGACCGGGGTCTCCGAGCTTGGCCACTTCAAGCTTTGTGGACTTCAACTCCCAGAATTCCCCAGGCAGGACATGCTGGCTAGGGGATTCTGGGAGTAGAGGTCCACAAGTCTTAGTCGCCAAGTCTGGTGTCCCCTTTGCCTCTCTTTGTGGGCCTTCTGTACTCCAAGCAGCGTTGGGCTTTTATTCTCTTTCTAGCGAAGGTTTTACCCACCAGTCCTCCCTTGCTGCTCTTTTATTTACCATTTGGACTTACTGACATATTTCGTATTGTGTTTATACTTGACCTTTCCAAAATATGATATAACCTACTGGAGGAGGCTTTTATCTGGAGAAACAGGCTCGGCAAGGATTTCATGCTAAAAATCCTTTTTGATAGTAATAATAAGGGAGCAGTTAGGAGATCTAGCAAGAGATGCCAAGGCTTCCAAAACATGGCAGAGACGCCACTGGAAGGCCACAGGGCTGCCGCCTAATCCCTTTAGTTGCAGAGGGCAGATTAGCTGTCCGAGTGACCCGGGCGCCGGATTAAAGCTCCTCGCCCCAATGAGGGCTATTTGTGGGTTTCTCTGATTGATCTCCTGGCGTGGCTCCCGGCTGGATCTCTCTCCTCCGACTGCCTTGCCCACACCGTCCCCAGGGAAGGGGCAGCCTGAGGTTTCCAGGCTGCTCGTATTTTAGGTGAACTCGATGAAAACTCCACGGAGCCAGCAATGGCCGGAGTTCCTGCCTGGACTCTTAGTGTTCACACAACACAGATAACTCGAGGGATCTAGTGCAGGACCAGCCCCGATGAGGTTCCCTAGTTGGGTCATGAGACGCCTGCAAGAAAGCCACCAGGCTCAGAGAGCCCCAAGGACCCCGCAGTCCAGCCCTGAGCTACAGATGTTCTCCTTTGCGGTTAACTTGGCTACTGTATTAGCCCACTTGCTGGACATGCCCTGTAAGCGAATCCTGGACTAAGCGGCTCAGAGACTCCAGTAGCAGCGCACAAACACCTGACCGTGATTGAGGCTAAGGAAGGCCAGCGTTTTGCACAAAGACACGTCACTCCGCTTGCACGGACGTGGGTAAACCTCTGGCACGAAGGTCTGCGGAAGGATCCAGGCCCGGACAAGGCTGAGCTGCCGCCAGGCATGAAGGCCAAACGAGACCTCAAGCACAGGCCCACTTCGAGCCCTTGGGTTCAGCTGGAGGAAGAGCTGTGCTCGGGGGCTGAGCATCCGCCTCAGCTCCCCCGCTGACCTGTAGCGACGCTTGGCCACCTCTCAGGTGGTCTGAATCTCCAAAGATGATCTTATTTGAGTTGACGAAGTTCAACAAAACTATTTTGCACAGAGAGAGAGAGATTCAAAGGGGTCCATCTTGTATCGTCTCTCCTTTCCCCCTTCTTGCTAGAGCTCCTCCTGCCTCCCACCCCGTCAGAAGCCAGCCGAGCAGCCAGGAACCATTAGCCCATCGAGCCCCCTCCCCCCATGCGCTCCAGAAGAGGAGCACCGCCCGGCCTGGGCGCATGGGTCAAGCTCAGGCCTGCAGAGACGCCCAGACGTGGTTATTTAGCCAGACCGTAGATTAGCAGGGAGCTGCTCCTCAGACCCACCCAGAGGCCTCCCGGGGAGGAAAAGCCCTGACGCAGGGAACTGGGGATTTGGTGGGGTCTGGGCAACGGAGAGCAGCCACCTTCCCAAGGCTCCCTCCGGCCGAGGGCCGCTCTCCCTGTGGGCCCGGCACGGCTGCTCCGCTCAAGACCAAAGGCACCAATCAAACCGACTGGGAACTGGCTGTCCAGACTTGTGCAAATGTGAGCTCCTTACCCGCCTCACATCGAAACCGAAAATAGCCGTTCTTCCCTTCCCCAAGAGCCTCTTCAGAGCTGCCCAGGAAATGGCCCTCTCCCTTCTGTCAGGGCTTTTCACGCATCTCTGCCTTTCCACCTGGTTATTACAGACCCCGAAGTTCTCCGCCAAACATTTTCTCCCACCTGGACCGAGGGGAGAAATGGAGGAAAGTAGGCCGGCCTCCAGGAAAGGCTCCCCAGATGCAGTGGGTGCCCTCCAACCCACGATGGGGGTCACCTATCTGACGGTGCAGCAGCAGCAAAGCCCCACAGCACTCCCCCCCCCCCCCAAATCCTGGGCCCACTGCTGAGGTCCCACGGGGACATTTGGGTTCTTCCGTCTGTCCACGCAGCAGCCGCTTCAGAAACACCTGCACTTCTGGGATAGAAATAGGAAAGCGGCAGAATGGCTGCCTTGAGGGCCGAGCACTAACTGGCAGGTGGAGGGCAGAGAGGCCCCCGGGGGGCTGGTGGGGGAGGAGGGCGCTCCCCAGGCCTTCCAGCTTTGCAAAGCAGCAGCCATGAGCTCGGGGGTCTCTCTCCCCCAAAGGAAAGTCACCCCTCTCTCCCTGTCCAGAGATAATGCACAGAGGCCACCACCATCCAGGTGGGCTCTCCTCTACAAGAGGGTAGTCCAATCCCCTGCTCAAAAGGAGACCCTAGGCCACTCCAGGCACACGGCTGCCCAATCTCTTCCTGAAAACCGCCAGGGGTGGAGCACCCACGACTTGGGAGGCAAGCCCTCCCACTGATTAACAGAATAACAGAGTCAGAAGGGACCTTGGAGGTCTTCTAGTCCACCCCCCTGCTCAAGCAGGAGATGGCTGCTGTCTAATCTCTTCTTGAAAACCTCCAGGGTTGGAGCAGCCACCATTTCTGAAGGCAAGCTCTTCCACACGCGAATCGTCCCGGCTGCTAGAAAGTTCTCCTTAGTTCTTCTAGTTTCCATCCGTTGCTTCTCGTCCTGCCTTCCATCGCTTTGGAGAATACAGTGACCCCTTCCTGCTCTCTGGGGCAGCCCCTCAGATATTGGGGTGCTGCTCTCCTGTCCCCCCCGGCCCTTCTTCTCACTAGACCAGCCAGGCCCAGTTCCTGGAACCGTTCTTCACCCGTTTTAGCCTCCAGACCCTTTATCCTTTTTTGTGGCTCTTCTCTGCACTCTTTCCAGAGTCTCAGCATCTCTGCACGCACCGATTCCCCCTTCTCATCCGCCAGGGTTTCCCACTCACTTCCCCAAATATCCACTGGCTGGAAGAAGCTGCCTGGGAGGAACCCGGCACGTTTGACAGGGCAGAAAATGCTCAGGGTTACCAGGTGGGCACCTGGGGTCAGAGGAAGCCCCTGGCTGGGGTGCATTTTATCCCTGACCCTCCAGGGACCAAGGTGGCCTTCTCAGTCCAGTTTGTCTTCCTGGACAGGAAAGAGGGGGCAGATCTCCAACGGGAATGAATTCATAAAATCCAAATTGCACTTTGACAAGACAGCTCGAAGTTTGTGTTTCTTTAATTTCTTGTTGAATTTGCAAAACACACAGAACCACAGAGTAAACAGATGGTTCACGGGTGGCGTTGAGCCTCCCTGGAGAAGCTGAGCAATTAAGGAAGCGGCTGGGTCACCAGGTGAAGTGTGTCACGCAACCACGGCAGCCTGTGTGTCCCTCCAGAGAAGCCACCAGGCATTCAAGGAAAGCAGGCGGCTTCGTTCTGCGCACGCAGGAGGCGCCAACCGGGGCCACTTTGCGGACTTTGACTCCCAGAAATCCCCAGCCAGAAATCCACAAGTCTTAAAAGTTGCCCCGGTTGGAAAACCCCGATGTAAATATTCTGCAGAAGCGAGGACATTCTCCGTGCATCCTTTTCCTCCCCCCGGACGGCCATCACGAGGAGGTCTCCCATGGCCAGCCTCTGGACTGTTAAGCCTTCCCTCCTTCTGAGCCGGCTGCCTTTTCCAGAAAGAGAGGGGGGGGCGCGGGAGGGAGGGAGGGAGGTCTTCTGTATTCTCATTTCCTAGCCTGAATTTCTGCCTTGCCTGCCTACGATGAGCGGTGACCAATGAATTTATCCAGGACATTTGTAAGGCTGGCCACCATTCCTTCCGGGCATCAGAGGCCGCTCGCCAGCTGCTCAGCCTGTTCCGTAGCAGGTGGGAGCCGTGGTCCAGAATTGGCGCCCTAATCTCATCTGGGCCATAGCAGGAGGAGACAGTGTCCCTGGGGAGGGAGGGGGCTCCTCTCCCCCCTTCCCTTCCTGCCCTCCTCTGAGGCAGCCATGTGGGGCCCCAGGCAGGCGGGCTGGCCTGGGATGAAACTCAGAGTTAACCAACTGCTTGACCGAGTTCTTTTTTTCCAACGGGGCGGGTGGTGTGGACCCCACGACGGTGGCTCCCTGGCTCCACTTTCCGAATAAGGACGGTCCTTCCAGAAGACGCTCCACAGGCAGCTCTTTCTCCACTTACGACCAAACTTTCATGCGAAAGAAGACACTTGTCCTGTCCCGTTTTATGACCTTTCTTGCCAGAGTTGTTCAGCGAATCACTGCAGCTGTTTAGTCAGCCACCCAGTTGTTAAGCGGATCTGGCTTCCCCGCTGACTTTCCAGGAGGACCCCAATGGGGAGCAGCTGAACTGCTGGCGGAAGTCACCCCCTCCCCCCTTCTTCAGAAGAGAAAGACCTTCGGGGGTCTGGAAAAGGAGAGGGGCAAATCCTTCGTCTCCTCCTCCCTCGTATCGCCATCCTTGCTTGCACGAGCCCCCCCCCCCCGTTCCCAGGATGCCTGCTGGGATTCGGAGCCCCGGCCTGCTCCCTTCTCAATGCCCAGGGGGCCTTGCGGAACAGGGAGGGGCTGGGATGGCTAAGGGTCACGGAAGCTGAGGGAGATCACATGGACAGAGTAACAGAATGACAGAGTTGGAAGGGACTTTGGAGGTCTTCTAGTCTGACCCCCTGCTCAAGCAGGAGACCCCGTACTACTCCAGACCAAATGAGGTCCGATGTCTTCTTGGAAGCCTCCAGTGTTGCAGCCCCCAAAGCGTCTGGGAGGAAGCTATTCCACGGATCCATTCCTCCTAATTCTCGGCTGCTTCTCTCCCTGGTCAGTTTCCCTCCGCCGCTTCTCGTGGCATCTGTCCTTTTTCCAGGGACCCCCGACCCCCTCCTCACTTGGGCAGAGGTTTCAGGACCATTAACTTCTCTGCTGGAGTCTCCTCGAAGTGCATTCAAGTACCTGCACCCCATCCGAGCGACTTGCATGCACACGGCCGTCCTGTTCCCAGGTTGCTGTCAACAGGATGAAGCTCTATTTGTCCACGTCCAAAAACCTCCCTGGGGAAAGAAACACGGTGGAAGGGCAAGAGGGGCTGGAGCCCAGGGACCCCGGCAGGCGTGGCTTGGAATGGCGTAACTCTTAATTTGGGGACCGTGGAGAGCGTCGCTTCTCCTTCCCACATCCTGGCTGGGCTGGCAGGAGCCCCACTGCTGCCGCACCAGCCCGCCTGCTTCCTTCTCTGCCCTTTGGAGCCCGGCAGGGGGGCATCCGGGAACCTTCTGGGCAGGGAAGGGGGTCCTCGTGACCTCCAGCTCCAGCCAGGAGGAGGAAGTGTCCCCAAAAGGTCAACATGAATTTTTCAGGAGTCTTTTCTGCAGAGCCAACCTGCCCTTCCTTGAGAAACGGCTTAACAACGGCGGAAGGTCTGGGTGGACGAAGGGGGGGGGCTGTTTGTGCCTTGAGACACTTCAGGACAATGACCCCCCTGTTCTCAGAGGCCTCTTTTCCCGGCCCTGAGAAACAGGACGTCTCGGCTTCCCAGCTCTCCTCAGAAGCTGCGCAACCATGTTCAAAGGCCCGTGTGTGTGTGTGTGGAACGTCCGGCCTGGAATCCGGGTCCTGCCAGGAGACCCGGAGGATGTGCCTGGCCTTCCGGAGAGACAGCAGGTGTAGCTCCAGGTGGAAGGGTGGGGTCCTTGTGCTCCCTCCGCCTTTCATGCAGACGTTTCATTACCCAACTGCTAAAAGGGAGGAGGAGGAGGAGGAGGAGGAGGAGGAGGAGGAGGAGAACTGTGGGGTCCTTGGTGCTCTCTGAGCTGGAGGCTTTGCTTGCAGATGTTTCATTACCATCACACCCCAAACAACAAAGACAGGGCAAGCTAGGGAACAAACTCCGTAGTTACTAGCACCGATGATGTTACCTAGTTGGGCAATGAAATGTCTGCAAAGGAACCCCCAAGCTCAGAGAGCACCGAGGACCCCAGACGTTCAGCCTTGAAAAAAGAGAGGGACAGGATACTATTGAGTAAGAACAGACCTTTTCTTTACCATCCCAAATAAACATGGACAGGTTCCCTCAGAGTGTGACCAATTTGATGGTGGACCCAAACAACCAAGGCGAGGGGTGTGTGTGTGTGTGTGTCAGGGTCTCCTCTGAGGGGGGTGCAGGTTGTGTTCGGGCAGATGCTGAGCAGCCATTTGCCAGAAAAGTTTCAGTTTTAGTTCCCGCACTGAACAAGCGAGGGCTGGACTTGGTGCTCCTCGCAATAAAATATTATTATCATTATTATCATTATTACTTTAAGGCTCAACGGCGCCCCTAGGTTTTCCTTGTACCAGCCCATCCCCCGGCATGCTTCCCGCCCTTCTCTGCTCCCTGGCCCACGGAGTTTCTCTGCGGCTGAGGCTCCGAACTGAGCCACGCCGCGCGGCTTTGCCACAAAAGACAGCAAGGGTCAACCCGTCTCTTTCTCTCCCCCAGGTCTGGAAAGCCGGGAGAGGCCAGGGGGCGATAGGCCAGCCCGGAGACCAGAGCGACGGCAGCGAACGCCGGGCCAGGATGGAGACCTTTCCCCACGGCAGCTCCAGGATCCTCCTTTCAGCGGCCTGCGTGGTTCTGTGGAGGCCCCACAGCCAGCCACGCAAACTCCTGCTGTGAGCTCGGATCCCGCGCAGGATGTGCAACACGAGCCAAGCCAGCTGGAGCTGCCCCGTGGACTCCAAGATAGACCACCTCTTCCCACCCACCTTGTACATCATCGTCATCACGGTGGGGCTGCCCACCAACTGCATGGCGCTCTGGGCGGCCTACCTGCAGGTCAGGCAGAAGAACGAGCTGGGCGTCTACCTGATGAACCTGTCCATCGCGGACCTGCTCTACATCGCCACGCTGCCCCTCTGGATCGACTACTTCCTCCACTACGACAACTGGATCCACGGGCAGGAATCCTGCAAGCTCTTCGGGTTCATCTTCTACACCAACATCTACGTCAGCATCGCCTTCCTCTGCTGCATCTCGGTGGACCGCTACCTGGCCGTGGCCCACCCGCTGCGCTTCGCCAGGTTCCGGAGGGTCAAGACGGCGGTGGCCGTCAGCGCGGTGGTGTGGGCCATCGAGATCGGGGCCAATTCCGCCCCGCTCTTCCACGACGAGCTCTTCCACGACCGCTACAACCACACCTTCTGCTTTGAGAAGTACCCCATGGAGGAGTGGGTGGCCTGGATGAACCTCTACCGGGTCTTCCTGGGCTTCCTCTTCCCCTGGGTGCTGATGCTCTTCTCCTACCAGGGCATCCTGCGGGCCGTGCGCGGCAACGTCTCCACCGAGAAGCAGGAGAAGGCCAAGATCAAGCGCCTCTCGCTCAGCCTGATCGCCATCCTGCTCTTCTGCTTCGCCCCCTACCACCTCATCCTGCTCTCCCGCAGCACCGTCTACCTGGCCAAGCCGGGAGACTGCGGCTTCGAGGAGAAGGTCTTCGTGGCCTACCACACCTCCCTGGCCTTCACCAGCTTGAACTGCGTGGCCGACCCCATCCTCTACTGCTTCGCCAACGAGGGCGCCCGCAGCGACGTGGCCAAGGCCCTCTCCACCTCGGTGCGCTTCCTCACCAGCTCCAAGCCCCAGGAGATGGCCAGCGCCTCGCTCACCCTCGACACCCCCCTGTCCACCAAGAGGAGCCTCTTCTGCCGGCAGCCCCTGGCCTTCCCGCTGCCCCCCTCCTCGCAGGCCGGCGGGCTGGGGGTGCGGGGCGAGGACCTCCACCTGAAGGTCCTGACTTTTAACCGGTGACTGTCCCCGGGGGAGCCGCCCGCCTCTGCCACGCAGCGTCCCGAGGATTCCTTAAGAGCCAGTAATCATATTACAACCCTTTAAAAACAGCCCTGTGTGTCCGAGCAGGTTTCTGTCCCGTTCCACCTAGAACCACACCCGGCCTGCGCCGAGCACTTCCAGGCAAACAAACTGCCTCCCAGGCATTTCTTTCTCCTCCACGCTACAGCAAGGGACGCCATTTCCCCCTCATACTGTCAGGCATAGCAGCTCCTCATCACGGAGGCCATGTTGTATCACTTAAAGACAGGACCCGGGGATACGGCCAGATTTCACGTGGGGAGGCCAGCCAGGCGTTCCCTGTAAGTTCCCATAACTTACTAAGACAAACAGTGAACCCACGCTCATTCCCTTGGGCCTCCCACGTGAGCTGTGTGACGCCATGTGACACCACTTACCATTTAAGGGTATGAAAACCACCCTGACCCTATTCTCCATCCCTTCTGCGCGTTCCCCTCCTATGAGAAAGCGGCACGCGGGTCCCGGCACAGGGCTCGCTCTGGGCCTTCCCCTTCCCGGTTTTTGCATGGCTCCAAACCAGCCACTCCCCTTGGAGCAGCCTTCCTCTTCCTCCACTCGATTTCCAGGCAGCTGGGTCAAAGGGCTGCTTATGACTCCGGAAGCTGCCATCACCTCTGGCCTCTGGACAGCATCAGGTAAAGGTCTCTGAAGGTAGCGGATAGATTCTCTCATCCAGAGAAGCAGCAGCAATCAGGTTTGAGCCCTAAGTTGCCGTACGCACTGGTTCCTGTGCCACAAAAGAGGCTGGCGACTTCCCGGTTTCTCCCCTTGTCCAATTTATGCTTCTTTAAACCAGAGTAGCCGGGCCTGGTTGCCTGAAAGAAGTGCACGGATCCAACCTGGGCGAGCAGTACTCCGTGCCCAGATGCTTCCCCAGGGCCCCTTCGGACCCCAGAAGATGAAAACAACCCCCTGCGTCTGTTTCTCCTTAGCCTCTTATGGTTTCCCACCTCCTAGTCAGGACAGGAAGCCAAACACGGGGAGTTTCTGGAAGGGTAATTAACGGGACATTGCCGGAGGCCATGATTGGCTGCCACATACTGAAGCCTCGGCCTGGCCTGATCCATCCCCCAAAGGGGAGAGCGGGAGGAATCGGTCCTCCTCCCGGAAGAGGGCAGCCCTCCGTGGGCACTAAGGGGCTAGAACAGGAGAATCTGGGACTGCCTCCCGTTTTGCAGAAAGGGACCCGCGCCTGTTTGCCTCTGTCGGCTGCTCTGTCTGGGTGGGACCCTCCGTTCCAGAAGGGAATGAGAAGTCAGCTGACCTGCTTTCGTGGCTCCCTCTCCCGTTCACAGCCGGATTGTCTCAGAACTCACGGAAGGGTGGACTTGAATTATTCCTTCAGGGCATGTTTATGAATGAGCGTGGGACGGGTATTAATCTAGGTCATCAGAAACAATGTCAGAATAGTATTTCTTCCCCCAGAACAGCTAAATTTACCACATATATGTCGTGTTACAATCTGTCTGCGACAAGGCGTGTCAGCTGCTTCCAAAAATTCCCTCAACCCAAAATCAATGGGGACTTCTGCCCAGTTGCCCCCCAGATGACTCTCTGTTCCAGGAACGCCTGACCAAGAAAGATAGCCATCATCAGCCACCTTCCGAGACGAGAACGGCCTAATCTTAGCCTCACCGAGGAGGAGCCCTGGACGGGGAGGCCTCCTGGGAATAAACAGGAGGAGGAGGAGGAGGAGGAGGAAGCACGCCCACTTCCACAGGGACAAGGAGGGAGGAGCGCTATCCCTCCTGGTGAAGGAGGCCTTACCCCCCTCCCTGAAACCTCCCCTCTTGCAGCTGCCCAGATGTTCTGAGGGCGAATGGCAGGAGGGAGGCTTTTCCTGGTGCTGTTTCTTCAGCCCTCTCTCTCTCAGTTGGATCCTCCGGCTGCTGCTGGAATGCCGATAAGAGGACACCGTCACCCGCATGAAGGGCAGAGCAAAGGGGGGTCGGCTCCTCCGACTTTCCCAGGGTTGGGACCTGAACCGCCTCAGTCCAACTCTAACTCGGGCGTGTCCCAAAGGTGCTTTTCCAAAAGGCAACTGGACTTTCTTTTGGGGGGGGGGGGTTTCTTGAAAACATTTTGCTTCTCATCCGAGAGGTTTCTTCAGTTCTTCAGAAGTGAAACGTTTTCAAGGGAGAAAAAAAACAAGAAAGTCCTTTTGGAAAAGCCCCTTTGGGACAACCATGACCTGGATGACTGAAAATCGCCCTGGACATTTTACGCCCGAAGGGCTGCGGTGCACATCGGAGGTCATAAATTCCCCAGACTTTCCCAACAAACCGAGTCGTGTTGAAGTCCTGGGTGTCTGATGATCTTGGAACTAAGCTGCTGGAGGGTTTCTTTCTCTGCTCGGTGATTTCGCTTGGCAGCTGCTCCCTCCAAGGGGGTCAATTAGTTCTTCTGGCACAGAAGGTGGCAGCCCCTAAAAAGGCAGGGAGAAAAGGGATTTCATGTCAGGGTGCCCTGACTCTCCTTTCTCCCCTAACCACCGTCCTGCAATCTGCATTCCCAGGGTCTTGGGTGACCCCGTGGGGAGGGACGAGCGTGTGGTCAATCCCCTGGCCAGAAAAAGCCGGCAGAGGCCTCCCGGGGAGGGTGCAGGGCTCTACCAAGGATCCAAAGCTGCAAAGTCCAGGCATCACCCATCTCCTCGCCTCATTACTCTCCCTGCCCTGCCTTTATTCTCGCTTCATTGCTTTCCTGAGCAGGCTGACTTACTCAGCCGGAAGTTAAACTTCCTGCCAGGTAATGCGGGATAGCCTCATTTCATGAACAGAACCTGAACCCAAGACCAGCCCATTTCAGCGAGCCTTGGTAGCTCAGGATTGAGCTCAGTGGGGTTTCTTGCAGACGTTTGGTGACCCAACGAGGCAACGTCAGCAGGGCACTGCGAGGTTGGTTGCCTGGGCACTCATGCCGTTGCCTAGTTGGGTCACGAAACGTCTGCAAGAAGACCCACCGAGGACCCCGCCCCAGCAGCCCATTTGCAGGCCGCCAGTGGGGGTGGTGCAGAGAGCAAGGATTCACCGCGGCTCCTGGCCCAGGACGATGGGCCTTGGAGTCCCGCCTCCTGCAGCAGGCTCTTCTCCGGCCCTCCACTCAAAACCCAAACCTTCACGGGGGGGGGAGGGGGAGGCTTTTCGGGGTCCTCCCGGAGGCAGAAAAAACAGGAGGGCACCCGCGGGCGGGCCGCTCCGCTCCGTATCTCTATGGTCCACAAGCCAAGGGCAACCCGCCCCGCCGTCTCTATGACGAGCTTACACCGGAGGCGGGCTAGCACACCTTCCCCTCAGGGATGGGACTTGAGAGGGAAGCAAAAGGGAGCCCGGCCCGCCGCTACCTGCCTCGGCGCTGGAAAGGAGACCGCCGCCTTTTAGGCATTCATGAGTCCCTGAGCACAGGCCCCACCCCTGACGCGGCCGGAGAGACCGTGAGAAGGGGTGCATTTGCATATTCATGAGGTGCATTTGCATACGCGGGTGACGCCAGAGGCCTACGCAAAGGGCGGGGCGCGCAGAGCGTGCCGGAGTCAGCGCGCTCGTCGTTGGCGGGCCGCTCCGCGCGGGGGCCGCTGGGAGCGCGAGGATGGTGGCCGGCGCCTTCCCCATCGCCAAGTTGCTCTACCTGGGCGTCCGGCAGCTCTCGAAGCCCCTGGCGGCGCGCATCAAGGACGGAGCGCGCGCCAGCCCCTTCTTCCGCCAGTATATCTGTGGTCCCCCCGCACAGCGTGAGTAAGCGGCTCGGGAGCAGCTCGCCGCGCGCGGGCAGCCAATGGGAAGCGGGAGGGGGCGGGGCTCGCGGCGGGGACGACCAATGGGGCAGCGCGGGCTGGGGCGCGCAGGCGCCGAGCGAGGAAGGTGACTTTGCGGCGGCACGTGGTTGCGGCCGTCGAGCCTCCGGTGCCTGGAGCAGTCTACCTGGAAGGGCGGAGGCCAGAGATGGGCCCCGGCCTTCTGGCTCAGGGACGTTTGGCACGTCCGAAGAGGGTCCTCCCCAGGTTGCCTGGCCCGGGTTTGGCCAGGCAGAAGGAAGTGGCCGCGGTTCGCTCGGCGCTCCCCCCCCCCCTTAGGCCCCCCCCCCCCCCCCCCACGCGGGCGTCTCGGGGGGTGCCTGGGCGTCTGCGGTCCCCTCCCAGCTGCACCCTTCGGCTCGCGCAGCCTGCGCGGGGGGCCGGCGGAGGAGAGACGGCCTTGCAGAGGAGGCCGCTGCCCACCCGGGACCCTGGCCCTGCGGACTCGGCCCTGCTCCCCGCCAGCCTCCCGGTGCCCCGGCCGGCTGCTCTGCTGCTGCTCTCGGGCTGGCGGCAGGGCTCCCCCGACACCTTCACCCCCCACCCCACTGACGGGAAGGAGGCGTTTCGGGGCCTTCCGTGCTGGCTGGGCCGGCGACCTCTGCAGATCAACGCCCACCGCCCGCCCGCTCTCTCTCTCTCTCTCTCTCTGCCCTCTTGCAGTCTACCACTGGGTGGAGATGCGGGCCAAGATGCGGATCATGGGCTTCCGGGGCTCTGCCATCAAGCCGCTGAACGAGGAGGCAGCTGCGGAACTGGGGGCCGAACTGCTGGGCGAGGCCATCGTCTTTGGGGTGGGGGGCCTGTGCATCTTCCTGGAATACTCCCGCCAGAGCAGCAACACCAAGAAGAAGGAGGAGGAGCTGAGCAGCACCTTGCTGGGCCTGCAGGAGCAGGTGACGGAGCTCAGCTTGACTCTGGAGACCTTGGACGCCCGGCTGCGGGAGATGAACCGGGTGCTGGTGGAGGTCTCCACCGCCCCCAAGAAGTAGCCGCCCGCCACCCTTCAGGACAGCCCGGGTGGGGCGCTCCTTGGGCCACCTCCAGGATCCGGATCCAGGCCGGCCCGGGGTAGGGGGAGCGGTCGGCAGTCCTTCTTCACACCAGGATTTGGGGTGCTGAGCTGCGCACCCCAACCAAGTGGTTAGGCGTTTTCCTAGAATGTAAATATTGGATCAATTAAAAAAGCCAGAGAAAGACCAGGCTCCCTTCCTTCGGTCAGCGCCAGGGAGCATCTGCCAGGGCTCTGGCCCCTCCTCGTTTTCCCTCCAAGAGGCGACCGGCTGTAACCCCCGGAAGGAGCTGCCCTGCCTAGGCAGCACCCCAGCTCTCCTGCTGCTGGAGCTGGGCAGGGAGGTGGATTCATCCGGAAGCAGGCTGGAGATTTGGAAAGCAAGGGAGGCTGCTGAGGACGCGGCCTCCACATTAGCCACCCCATAGATCAGGTTTTCTCAACCAGGACAACTTTTAAGAAGCCTGGACTCCAACTCCCAGAATTCCCTAGAAAGCACAAGGAGTGCAGGCCATAGATGGGCTCCTTGCACAGATGTCCTTCCGGGGCCTCTCAGTCCTCAATGACAACCACCAATTGGGACTGGGATTTCCATCCCTCCGCAAAGCTTCCTAAGTGGGTTGCATCTGAATCGCCTCTTTTGTTTTTGCTGTAGGTGTTACATGTGGCCGTTAAGCAAATCTGGCTTCCTCCAATGATTTTGGTTGTGGGAAGGTTGCAGATTTTAATCATTTGAATCCCTGGATTCTGCAATACGTCCATGCCAGTTGCCAAACTCTTGGATTTTGATCACATGACCATCGTGATGCTACCAGTCATAAGGGTGAGGACTAGGCATAAGTCACTCCTTTCTGGGCCGTTTTAACTTGCAACGGTCACTAAAGTGGCAAGTGGAGGATGCCCAGTATCGCCACTATAACTTGAGTCCACCAGATAGTCGGTGGTTGTTCCTTGTTCTTCAGTTCAGGTGGCAGAGACGTTTCTGTAGCATTTGGAGGTCCACAGCTTCCGCGTCCCTCACCATTAACCGTGCTGGCTGGGCCTGCTGGGGGTTGTGGTACATTCAGTTTCCAGCAAGGGGCCCCAACCCTGGCAACTTTTAAGGCTTGTGGACTTCAACCTCCAGAATTCCCCGGTTTATACAGTTTGCGGCTGGGTGTATTTATTTAAAACATTGAAATTGCTTTATAACCAAGTCTGGACAGTTCCCAGCAAACCCAGATGTCTCCCCGGGCTCCGTATTTGCCATCCTCACCAGTTTAAGGATTCGATTAGGGGAGCTGCAAGAATGTTCTGATTAAGCGCTCTAAAATAACATCGCTAATAGCAGTTCTAGGGACTGCTTTGGGGATTTTTTTGGGGGGGGGGGGATCTCCAAACCTGGCCCCTTTTAAGGCTTGTGGAGTTCAAGCAGCTATGCTGGCTGGGGAATTCTGGGAGCTGAAGCCCACAATAAAAGGGGCCAGGTTTGGTTTAAGGGGCAGAAATAAGAACCTATAGAGATTCTGAGGTTTGCTTAACGGCCGCTACAAAATAAGTTGTAAAATCAGGTCCAGGCATGTGGGCGCCTTGCCCTGCGGCCGTCATGATTTTGCAGTGGGAATTCCAGGCTCCCTTATGGTCGCTCGGTTGGGCCTGCCTGTATATTGTGAACAAAGCCACCGGCCTCCCCCCCCCCCCCAGCCCCCCCAGCCTTCCCTCCTGCCCTGGTGGGTGCAGGCTTTTCCCAGGCCTTCCTGGCAGGGTGTTCAAACCCGGAGGGATCCTGCCCTCGGCCTCGTGCCCCCTGCTCCCCAGAGCTCAACGGAAGGAAACGGGCAGACGCCGAAAGCTTCGTAACTTTACAAAAAAGGAAAAGGTTTATTCGTAAGAGAGTCTGGTGGACGTGCCCGAGATCCTAGTGCCCGTCTGCAGGCGATGTGTGCGGTGTGGCGGAAGGGTGGAAAGAGGTCGGGCAGAGGTGCCCAGCAGATCAGTAATAACAATAACAATAATAATAAAATCAAAATATAATATTCTATCCAGCTTGACAAAAACAAAGTCAAAAAATTACAGCTCAGTAGAAAAGCCAAGACCCTGCCCCGTTTCCCTCCGTGGCCTGAAGGAGGGAGGAGGGGGGAAAACCCTCTTGTTTAAAAAAAACGACCCAGAGGGTGGGGCCTTCGAGAAGAAAAACATCCTGAAAGGGGCCCCCTCCCCTTGCACGGAACCAAAAAGGTACAAAACCAAGTGAAACCAGCCGAAGACGTGGAATGCGGAAGGGTCTTTGGGGGGGGGGAGGACTGACAGGGCCCTTCCCTGGCCCAGAGGAGCCCCATCTTTGGGGAGGGGGCAGGGCCCCCAGGAGCAGCCGCGTTCCCGGCTGGAGGGGCTGACGGGGGGGGGGCTCCCAGCCGAGGCTTCCCTGCCAGCTGC